GAACAGAAACGCCAGAGAATTGAACGTTTGTCAGCTGAATACTCCAACATGATCAGGGGTGTCAAGGTGGCCAATGATGAGTTCTACACCATGGACGACTATGATGCTGATCTGCAGGTTGAGAATGAGTTTGATGCTGCAGACCCATGGTGGGATGAAGATCAAGTGAAGGTTGATCAGATGCCTATGGAATTGTGGAGTGATCATGCAATTGATGACATGCCACCACAACCTCCGTCGTGGGTGGATGATTTGGCTGACAAAGTCGAAATTGAACGTTTGAAGAACATGGGAGTAATGATTGAGGAGGAGCTTTTCAATGGGCCTCAGAACAACTCCAAGCTGACAACCAGGCATGTCCACGATTGGCGCTTAAAACCCTTCGAGCAAGGGAAGAAGTGGCTCAGGCGTTCACGCCTGGTGGCCCGTGAGTTTGCACGGGAGAAGAGGTCAGACACCTTCTCTCCAGCGACATCAAGTCACACGATGAATGTTCTTCCAGTTGTCTACCTGGGACGCCTGGCTGAGGAGGAGAACTCTGAAGGCCTACCAAGTGGAGATCCATGTGCACTTGGTGTGGTCGACATCAAGGATGCTTTTCTGATGGTGGACCAACAGGAACCACAACGAGTTGTTCTCCCAACAGGCAACTTTGTCCTGCTCAAGAATTTACCACGGCAAAGATTGGGCGCAAAGAATTGGTTTTGGCACTTTCATGACTTGCTTTCAAAGGAATTGCACATGGAGTGGAGTGCAGAACAGCCTTGCTTGTGCAAGAATTCCAAATGTGCCTTGATGATCCACGTGGGCGATGTGATGTTTCTTGGGAGCAGCAAATACTGGAAAGAGACGTTTTTGCCAAAGCTCAAGGAACGCTACACAGTCAATGCATCTCAGCTTGAGGGCATTGGTAGTTCCATCAGCTTCCTCAAGCGCAAGCTGGTGAGAATTCCAAATGGTCTTGCTTTGGTTTCTGGAACTAGCGTGGACAAGTTAGTGCAGTCTTTTGAACAATGGTTTGGAAAAGTACGCTTTCAAATGGTGCCATGTGACAACAGCATTCAGCTTGAAGATCTTTCACAACCGCTTTCTGCAGAAGAGTCTTTCCACTACAGATCGGTGGTGGGCATGTGCCTATATTTAGCACGTGATCGTCCTGACATCATGTATGTTGTCAAGGAGCTTTCCCAAAAGATGTCTTCACCTACAGCTGTTTCCCTTCAGCGTTTGAGGAAACTCATTGGCTATTTGAAGGGCACAGGTGATTTTTGTGTTGTTCTGGAGATGCCTGTGCCAGGCCAAACATCAGAGGAGAAGACTTGGATCCTTGAGTCACATGCAGACAGTGACTGGAGTGGTAACAAAAGCCACAGAAGGTCTACAAGCTGCGGCCTTCATGTGATGAACAGTCAGTGCATGTTTGGTTCGAGCCGCACACAGCGTGTGGTATCATTGAGTTCATGTGAGGCAGAACTCCATGCCCTTGTATCAACATTGAGCGATGGCATCTACATTCGAAGGTGCTTTGAGTTTGTGATTGGTGCCAAGATCCAACACATCTTGCTGACAGACTCCTCGTCAGCACGTCAGCTGATCAGTCGTCAGGGAACAGGGAAAGCAAAACATGTTTCTGGAAAGATATTTTGGATACAGGACCATGTGAGACAGGCCTTTGTGGACGTATCACAGATCTCAACAACTTGGAACATTGCTGATATTGGGACAAAACCTTTGTCCAAGCAGCGCATGCAGCTTTTGCTCCATGAAGTGGGAGTACACAGTGGCAATGGTGAATTTCGAGTTGGTCAAGAAGAGTTCGAACAGCAAAGCTTGCGTCACAATGGTGGACCGCAAATCAGCAAATTGGCCAAGGCGGTGGCCCGAGTCATTATGGTGCTAGGCCTTGAGCCTCGTGCAGTTGCAGGTGCTGGAATCCAAGGAGACGATTTGCAATGCAGTGCAGACATGGTGGTACAATCCAATGATGATGGCCACTTTTGGGTCTTTTTCTGGATTGCAGTGCTTTTTCTGTTGTGGGCCGGTTTCATCTACAAAGCGTGGAAGTTTGCAAAGCATGTGAGTGAGGAACTCTCCAGCCATTCATATCAATTGGCTGATGGAGATCGATGCTATGGCAATCAACACCAGAGACTGGAAAACCAACAGGAAAGCTTGAGTGCACTGGAAGGTTGGGTGGCAAATGTCGAAGGCCAGATCACTATGGTGAGTGATTACTCTGAGTCGGTTCATCATGGCTTGGTAGAACTCGGAGGGTTCACACGTCTGACGGATTTGACCCCTGATGAGAGGAGATGCATGTACACGGCTGAGCGTGCCAATCTGGTGTCACGCAATGCAATGGGTGCAGATAACTACATGAGGTGCGTGCGCCAACAATTTGGTGGAGGGCGTGGCCAAAATACAGATGGAGACGAGGCTATGGAATCAGAGTCAGACTCCCAGGCCGACGACCCACCAGTGACGGCATCAGCAGGCTCTGCCTCAGGAGACATGCCGAGCAGTAGCTCAAATGCACCAAGGCCAGCGGGCATGGTGAATTTGCAGGATGACCTTGTGAATCAGTTGAATGCAGCAGTGGTCAGAGAAGCATACCGTGATGCTTCCATTATTCAGCATTTGATGATGGACTTGCTGGATCTCAGCCACCAGAATGGATTCTACAACACAGAGCGCCGCAATCGTTTTCTTGGGTTGCTCAATCAGCGCTTCACTGAAATGCGTGACCATGCCAGACTTCATGGTCACCAGGATGTGGCTACGGTGTATGAATCCTACTTGCATTCTTGGAGGAGGTTCATGCAGTGAGTTGTTTGGAGATCCGAGGCTCCACCAAACAAAGGAGGAGTGCAAAAGATTTCTGACAGTGTTTACCTCCTGAATGCATGTGTCCAGACTTTACTTTCAGTGGATGTCAGGTGTGAGAGACGGTCAGAAACGCAAGGATGAGAGACGCACAATTCGAGAAGTGTCACCAACCATTTTGCATGTGAATCCATAAGACATGGAATCATTTCACATTACTTTGAGGCCTTAGGCTCATCAGCAAAACAGGAGTGGCCGCTGCTTCGCAAGATGAAGATTCTCCAAATGGTCCCAATGGCCCACCAGGTGAACACGTCACAGGCATGATGGCTGCAGCAGCTGCCGCTGCTGCCAGCGCAACGTTGGCTGGATGCGACAATGGGCCAGCTGGTGATGGAAGTGGTTTGACAGTGAGCGTGCCGAGATTGGCCCTCACAACATGGACCGTGCTTTGCATGCTCTACAGCCGGAGCCCTTGGCATGACATGAACTATGTGGAGAAACCTCCTGTGACAGCCTTAGCTGCAACAGAACCGCAAACAACAGAAGAAGTGCAACCAGCCTTGGACTGGTGACACTCACTCTGAAAAGGGCGCTGGGACGTCTGAAGAAAACTCAGGATAGCTCGAACCATTGAAAAATCCTCAAGTACACACAAGCGAAGAGATGTCTATGTGCCATGCTGGTCCACCTGCCTGGTTCGGACTTCGCAAGAACCAGGATGCTGGAACCACTCAGCGGTGACAGTGAGCTGAGTTCAGACGATGAGTTGCCTTGCCATGGACACCCAGTGGAAGTGATGGCTCACTTTGTGCAGTCTTCGACAGTGGCCTACCGCCACTTGCTGGGACTCCTCAAGTACGACCGGTGGGAGTCACCGTGCGACCTACTGAGGTCATTTGGTGAAGGCCTTCCTTCGAACACCAGAGCCTCCACCACCACATGGCGAGGACGAGGACGATGACAACGATGATGACGACAGCATGGGAGGACCAGAAGAAACAGAGAGCCAAATGAGAAGGAGGCGTGCATGAATGATGAGATGTGCGAAGTCTTGAATCCTGATCTTTGGACAGAGATGCACTACGCCAAGGAAATCAGTGGTTGCAACAGCGACAATGGCTGCTGTAGCGCAATTTTTCACAGGACAGAACTCCAATAGGATGCGCAGCCTGGACTTGGAAGAGTCCTGAGGAGTGAAATGTAGTGATATAAGGCAAAAACCTATATCAAACACAAATCGAGAAGTGTCAGTCAGGGTGTATCGTCAGACGCTTTTTGGAACCAGAAAAAATTGCAGAAACAGTTTCTGAGCGCAGAAGGTGTTACTACGCCAGCACTCAGGATGAAGTATCTGACCCAAACTTTGGGCCATGCTGCAGTACGCAGAATATACGAAAAAAATTGAATATCCAAAAAATGTGCTCAATGTTAGCCATGAGCGCTGGCAGTGAACTGTCAATTTTTTCAGTTGCGAGGGGGCAGGCCTCGGGGTAACTTGGATCCCTGGTAGCCGGCAGGCTGGGGGGAAACGTGGATCCCCAGTAGCCCAGGCAGCATTTGCCAAGAGGAAACTAGATTGTCTCACGGTGCGAGCATCATGATGAATCCATGTGGACAAAGAGGCGTCTATGTTTTCATTTTCCCGTTTGTCGATGTAGGATTCAAGGCTGCGTCGAAACGGGGTGCAAGAGATTTTTGTTTGCAGGCGCATGTCCAATAACGCGCATTACAGTTGATGCAGTTGTCATTCCACTCATGTGCAACACGCGCAAATGAGAAGTGCATCGTTCAAACGCTTTGGATCCAGGGAAATAGACAGTATGGAAAATCGGTCTGGAATTTGCAGAAACGTTTCCATTGAGACAATATGGAAAAGCGGCCTGGAACTCGCAGAAACGTTTCCATTGAGAATCGTTTTAGATTTGAGCAAAAGAGGATTTTGAAATATGACGCCTTGTGGGCGTGGTAGCAAAATTGAGGTGCAAGTAGAACAACATGTGCATCATTAATATTGTGTATAGGCGGCACAATAAACAGTGTGTTTCTCTGTCCACCAAACAATTGAGCAGAAAAACGCGCACTCTCACAAACAGACCGATCATGACAATGATGTTGATTTTTCCAGCTACAACGGATGGATGAACATCGTGTAATTTTTCCTGCGTGCAAAAATGCACATTCAAGTCCGAATGCCACTGAATGGACACACGTGCTGTGGGCCAACGAGTATCCGAGGCGAGCATTTGATGGGCGATTATATTCACTGAATTGGTGATCCAAGTGAGTTGACACAAAAAACTGTTTTGTCCGCTCGGGAGACGCCACAATTGCAGGATGGGCACAGATGGACCACAAACCAGGCGACTTTGATCAAGGAATCAAGGCTTTGGTGCCAGATTTTTTTTTCCGCGTCGTATGAAATTGGATTGAAAATTGCAAGTCTCGCCCAACATTTTGTTTTTGCCGAGGGGTTGTGAGTCTTGTCAACAGTCAAAATTTAAATGAATTTTGAATGGGTCAGCAAAGTTCATTTGTTAGGGGTCTTGACAAGGCGGCGTGTTGTGATGATGCGGAATCTCATCCTTGGATTCGCTTTGTTTGTGATCGGCGAACAATTTTCATTTGGATTTGGGCAAATCCGGCCTGTTAAAACAAAATCCTTGACAAGGAAACTCACGTTCACAATCAGAATCATTGGCAAAGTGGCAGGCTGTCCGGTAAGACACGCCCAAGATGCAAAGTTCTATTGCTTGTGGCTCATGCTGATGATGAAATTATTTGGGCAGGACGGGGCATCGCAGAGCATTGTATTGTTTTAGCTCTGAACTTTTGAATCGGTCCCCAAAGGGGTGGCAAAACCTTAGCCTTATTTTTGTATTTTGCCAACCTTATTTCTGCTTTGAAAATTCACTGTTGCACGAACCCTGGCAGTCGGAACGGTTCCTTGGTATTGCGAGTGTTTTTGTCAGGTGAAGCTTTGCTTGGTTGGAAAACCCAAGTTCTTTGCGATGCCCATTGGTCGCTCACTTGAGTGAAAGTGGTTTTGTTGTTTGTGTCAAGCACTACAAGTGGATATGATTGAAAGTGTTGTGGTTCCCGGCAAATGTGTCCATGTTTGCTATTCATCATGATTGTTTTGCACGGTGGAATTGACAGTGAACATTGTTCGCTTCGATTCACCGCGCGCAATGTTTGACTTGAATGATGGTTCCGCTAGGCACATCGTCACGGCAACTTTTAGTTCCAATCAGCGAGTGAAGGAGAATAAATGAGAACAACTCTCTTGAAAGGGTCTGGGGACTTCGACATGTGCTGTTCAGTTTCTGCCCCGGTTTTTTTTCCCCTCAGAGTTGGGGTGCAGATTTGACTCCAGCGTGGTCATTTGAATCCAGCCTGGTCGTTCAATTCTGGTAGGAATTTTGGGCAATACTGGACCTCTTGAGGCCGCAATTCTGCTAGTTTCACTTCGTTTCACCGGGGATCTACGTTTTTTCACAACACAAACACATCCAACATCATCCAACCAGACAGCAGTCAATTCTGTACGGTGTGCCAGGTCCAAGACACGTGCGGCAAAAATCACTGCAGAGGTGCTCAGAGCATTGCTTTACCATCCTTAAATATCCTCAAACCACTTTTCAACGGCACAAGTGTGGCGCAAGTGCAGCACACGTGATGCACATGGATGATCCAACGAAATTGATTGCGTGATCATGATGAAAATGTTGAATCATGAAGGCAATTTAAAGATCAAAAGGTGATGCTGAGTGATGCTCAAAATGGCAGGTTTGGGACTACGACGATTGCAATCATCTGCCACAAGCTGAGAGGTTCTGCGAAGAGGGTCAGGATCTGACGAGGTGTAACAAGGTGCGGTGTACAACGCGCCTGAGGCATTGCGACCTCTTTAAACGCGACGTGGAAGTGGGCGAAGTGCTGATTTTGATGACCCAGACGGTAATGGAAAACCCGTGTAAACTCACATGTAGAGCCGAGGATTTTCCATGCCAGCTTGGATCAACGGTAGACATCGGCAGACATGGGTAGACATCGGTAGACATCGGTAAACCATGTAGAGTAGCAAGCAGCATGTCAAAGCTTTGGACGAGGCAATCCACCGTTTAAGGAACGGCTCATTGAAGTGTTCCAACGAGGCAAGGAACTCAGATAATGTCAACGCCGGATTAATAAACCACGGTTTATTAATTAGGGGGGTACTCCTCCAATATTCATAATCTGATACTTAAATGGTACCCTCCGAATTAAACAATCTAGGGGTTTATTAATCCAGGGTTGACATTACATCAGATGGTCCTAGAGGCCTAGAGGCGCTGTGTGTTTTCAGACTGAAACACATTGAAACATACTGAGACCAATGGGACTATGTCATCACCCACAACCAGCACGGAGAGTGACCTGCTGCTGGGGCTCGTTGTCCTTTTGGTGGATGTGGATGGTTTGATGGTGCTGGGTTTTTACGAAAGGTACCATCACAAGCAGCACATGGGTGGAGATCTCGGTTTCGTCAGATCTTTTGAGATTCGCTCTTCTGTGGCTCAAATTTGTTGTCAGGTCTCTACATGGCAGTAGATGCCGCCACCTTGGTTTATGGATGTTTATGGCATTTCTCATGGCATTGTTCGCCGTCAGTACTGGTACCACATTTGCCCAAGGAGCTCTTTCAGAAGCGACCTGATGTGGTGGGAAAAGCGAGTTTCTGGGCAAGGCGCTTGGAGGATCGGAGCATGACTGAGAATGGAGAAATGCACTGCAGAGCAGCTTGGTGACCCGTGTCCGTGTGTCAACGTGTATACTGTATAATTACGAATTACGATGTATACGTGCTGCATGTGATCATGTGATCATTGATCTGAGGTCTTCAACCCTTTACCGGAGCTGAACACGTCTCTGAGTACGGCAAAAAGGATGCTGCTACAGGCACCAGATATATACAGCTTAAGAGCGTTAGACAGACCTGCGTGTTTATCGCTGTGAGGAATACCTTAAGCGTACTCCGACGATGGCCAGAATGTTGACTTTCAAGAGCTTGGAGAAGCACCTTCGGGTCGCATTTCGATTGTTTCATTTTTTTACAAGTGGAACCTCTTGTGGGATGCTTTCGCATGCAGAGGTATACGGAGCATTTAGTTCCTGCTCATGAGTTTAGCAGACCTCCGCTCTTAGGTGCCAACCTTTTTCTTGAAATGCCAGCTGCAAACAAGAGTCTTCGCTTGTCTTGGAGGTTCTTTCAGATTGTTTCAGCATCCACCTTGACACTGATGAGTTGTCAGGTGTTCCATTCTCACAAGGACTTCCATTCTCGTCAGCTTCACAAGAAGGGGCTGACACAGCATCGGAGATAGTTGACACACTCACCGTGTTGGACCGTGTTGGATAGGTGGAACCTTGGTTTAACTTGGGTTTCCTGAGGTACACCTTTCACTTTCTGCCTGAAGTAGAGTGACTTGGCAAAAACAAGACCCGATGAGGCTGAGAAAAGGGTCAGTGTTCTGTTCAACACTTTACTCAGGGAATGTGGTAATCCGAGTATCAAGGGTGACATTACCATCCCTATACACCATGACTTTCAGCTCACATTGGGTAGGAGTTGAGTCCAGGTTGACAGCAGCAGAGATCTACACTTTGCTGAAAGTCTGATCCTCGAAAGTGGCAGACAAAGCGTTTCCATTTGTTTCCCCAATAACTTGTTCCATTTGTTCCATTTGTTTTTTCAGCATATTGGTTAAGAATTGCTGAAGGAGTACTTCGCCAAGACATGGGAGTCCACCTGCAGTAAAGGAAGCTTCGTGAGGCAAGATGAAAGATGAAAGACCCAGATATCAAGCTTTGACTTAGGCACTCAAAAATAGCAAATTTTCAGAACGGGAGAAACTTGGAGGTACCTTTGCAGTCCTGCGTTTAATAAACATTGCATCACACGTAATTGATGTGGGTAACCCATGGGTAACCCATGTAACTATCGCATGACACAGGTATCCTGAGACCTGCCGCTTGCTTCGAGCACAAAGTCACAGCATCTCCCCTGGGATGAGTCACACGCTGACTCTCGAGGCCGAATAGATCTGTGAAAAAAAAAAGCTGTCTAATCTTATTGGCTTATAGCACTGGTAGGCTTATAGGTATTATAGGCCTTAAAGAATTTACATGATTTGAAATGATTCGAAGATTTTGAAAACTGCAGTACATCTGCTCACATTCCGTTTCTGCACAGGAAGTCAAGCAGGCTCAAGAGGCCACAGAGTAAAGCTGCCTCGCTGTCGACTCTTGTCCCATTCCTTTTCATGCTTGGAGCTTTATATCGTGAAGAATGCTACATGAAACCAATGTACAACATGATATACATTGACATACAATACAATACAATACGATACAATACAATACAATACACTACACTACACTACAATACATACATACATAGATACATAGATACATACGTACATACGTACATACATACATACATACATAGATACATAGGTACATACGTACCTACGTACATACGTACATACGTAAATACGTAAATACGTACATACATACATACATACATACATACGTGCATACGTGCATACGTACATACGTACATACATACATACATACATACATACGTACATACGTACATACGTACATACGTACATACACACGTACGTACGTACATACATACATACATACATAATGACATAATGACATAATGACATAATGACATAATGACATACTGAGATACTGACATACTGACATACTGACATACTGACATACTGACAAACTGACATACATACTGACATACTGACATACATACATACATTGCATTACATTACATTCCATTGCATTGCATTGCATTGCATTGCATTACATACATTACATACATTACATACATTACATACATTACATACATTACATACATTACATACATTACATACAGTACATACAGTACATCCACTACACCCACTACACCCACTACACCCACTACACCCACTACACCCACTACACCCACTACACCCACTACATGCATTACATGCATTACATGCATTACATGCATTACATGCATTACATGCACTACATGCACTACATGCACTACATGCACTACATGCACTACATGCACTACATGCACTACGTGCACTACATGCACTACATGCACTACATGCACTACATGCACTACATGCACTACAGGCACTACACCCACTACATGCACTACATGCACTACATGCACTACATGCACTACAGGCACTACACCCACTACACACACACTACACACACTACACACATTACGCACATTACACACATTACGCACATTACACACATTACACACATTGCACACATTGCACACATTGCACACATTACACACATTACATACATTACACACATTACACACATTACATACATCACATACATTTCACACATTCCATGCATTGCATACATTACATACATTCCATACATTCCATACATTCCATACATTGCATACATTGCATACATTGCATACATTACATACATTACATACATTACATACATTACATACATTACATACATTACATACATTACATACATTACATACATTACATACATACATTACATTACATTACATTACATTATAGTGCCGGACTGGAACTTAGAATGACCATTTGGAAATCGCCGGGGGTATCCGAAAAGTTGCCGTTTCGACGCGCGGGGCCAAAATCCCACGTTTTTGATTTTTTTTTTCGTTTGGAAAACTTAGAATGAGTAACTGAAATGTTACGAAACACCGCGCCTGTCAGTCAAAACAGGTCTGGGACACGGAACATAGAATGGGTATTCGCGCACAGCTGACACACAGCTGATTTTCAAAAACAATTTGGCCACAATAGCAAAAGTACCCGTCATTCCAAGTTTGGCTCCCAAGTGCTGTTTTTTGTGGAAGGTAGTCCAAAATCCTTCGAAAATGATTTTTTTGAACATCTTATCCATTTTTTTTCATTTGTTATTCATTTCCACGCATTTTTCCAGCCGTTTTTCATCCATTTTTTCATCCATTCTGCACTAATTTCCAGCCATATTCATCCATTGTCATCTGTTCTTCATCCATGCTTCATCCATAATCTCTATCCACTTCCCATCCATTATTCATTGTTTTCCCACATCAAGTTTAATTCTGTTTAATCCCTGCTCATCCATTCTTATATAATCATTTCACGCATGCTCTATATTTCCATTTCCATCCAGTTTCCATCCATTTTTCATCCTTTTTTCTTTTCTGCATCAATGTTTATCCAATTTCATCCACTGTCATCCATTATTCATCCATATTTCATCCATTTTTTTTATCCATTTCCATTCATTTTTCATTTTTCATCATTGGTGTTCATCAATTTTTGCTCTTGTTATGCTTTCCTCCATTTATAATCCAGTAATTTTGACTTCTTCTATTTCTGAATCATTCGTTACAGCGCACTTTCATGTAACAAACCTAGGCGCCCCTTTGAGCTCCATACACCCCTGTGATAATAGTTAGTCAGCGTCTTCAAAAATTTTCCAAATTTCAGCCGACATGATACGCTTTTGAGTATATAAAAGTTCAGACCCGCCCCAACCTATTGACCTACTGTCTGCCTACCTATTTATCTATATGTATATGTATATTATATATATATATGTATGTATGTATTTATTTTTATATTTATATATTTACCTGCAATCACCTGCAGTCATTCTAATAACGAGCACCTTTCATTATTTCGAATCCAATATAAACAACATCAGTAATAATCAATCTCACTTATCTGCGCGTTCATATATAATAAATTAAACAATAACCAGCAACCAACATGCTACGCGCAGACAGTATGTGGTTTCGAATCTAAATATAATATATATATATATATACATAAATAGATAAATAGCGTAGGCAGACAGACAGTAGGTCAATAGGTTGGGGAGGGTCTGAACTTAGAATGACTGCAGGTGATTGCAGGCAAATATATAGATATAAAAATAAATACATACATATATATATATATATACATAGATAAATAGGTAGGCAGACAGTAGGTCAATAGGTTGGGGAGGGTCTGAACTTAGAATGACTGCAGTTGATTGCAGGTAAATATATAAATATAAAAATAAATACATACATACATATATTTATATACATAGATAAATAGGTAGGCAGACAGTAGGTCAATAGGTTGGGGAGGGTCCGAACTTAAAATGACTGCAGGTGATTGCAGGTAAATATATAAATATAAAAAAACATACATGCATATATATATATATATACATATAGATAAATAGGTAGCCAGACAGTAGGTCAATAGGTTGGGGAGGGTCTGAACTTAGAATGACTGCAGGTGATTGCAGGTACATATAAAAATATAAAAATAAATACATACATACATATATAAAAAATATATACATATAGATAAATAGGTAGGTAGACAGTAGGTCAATAGGTTGGGGAGGGTCTGAACTTAAAATGACTGCAGATGATTGCAGGTATATATATATATATGTAAATATAAACATAAATACATACATACATATATATATATAAATACATACATATAGATAAATAGGTAGGCAAACAGTAGGTCAATAGGTTGGGGAGGGTCTGAACTTAGAATGACTGCAGGTGATGGCAGGTGAATATATAAATATACAAAAAAAATACATACAGACATATATATATATATACATATACATATATATATATACATAGATAAATAGGTAGGCAAACAGTAGGTCAATAGGTTGGGGAGGGTCTGAACTTTGAATGGCTGCAGGTGATTGCAGGTAAATATATAAATATAAAAATACATACATACATATACATATATATATATATATACATAGATAAATAGGTAGGCAGGCAGTAGGTCAATAGGTTGGGGAGGGTCTGAACTTAAAATGGCTGCAGGTGATTGCAGGTAAATATAAAAATACATTAATAAATACATATATATATATACATACATATAGATAAATAGGTAGGCAGACAGTAGGTCAATAGGTTGGGGAGGGTCTGAACTTAAAATGGCTGCAGGGGATTGCAGGTAAATATATAAATATAAAAATAAATACATACATATATATATATACATAGATAAATAGGTAGGCAGACAGTAGGTCAATAGGTTGGGGAGGGTCTGAACTTAGAATGACTGCAGTTGATTGCAGGTAAATATATAAATATAAAAATAAATACATACATACATATATTTATATATATAGATAAATAGGTAGGCAGACAGTAGGTCAATAGGTTGGGGAGGGTCCGAACTTAAAATGACTGCAGGTGATTGCAGGTAAATATATAAATATAAAAAAAAATCAATAATATATATATATATACATAGATAAATAGGTTGGCAGACAGTAGGTCAATAGGTTGGGGAGGATCTGAACTTAAAATGGCTGCAGGTGATTGCAGGTAAATATATAAATATAAAAATAAATACATATGTATATATATATATATATACATATAGATAAATAGGTAGGCAGACAGTAGGTCAATAGGTTGGGGAGGGTCTGAACTTAGAATGACTGCAGGTGATTGCAGGTAAATATATAAATATAAAAATAAATAAATACATAAATATATATATATATACATAGATAAATAGGTAGGCAGACAGTAGGTCAATAGGTTGGGGAGGGTCTGAACTTAGAATGACTGCAGTTGATTGCAGGTAAATATATAAATACAAAAACAAATACATACATATATATATATATATAAATACATAGATAAATAGGTAGGCAGACAGTAGGTCAATAGGTTGGGGAGGGTCTGAACTTAAAATGACTGCAGGTAATTGCAGGTAAATATATAAATCTAAAAATCAATACATGCATATATGTATATACACACATAGATAAATAGGTAGGCAGACAGTAGGTCAATAGGTTGGGGAGGGTCTGAGCTTAAAATGACTGCAGGTGATTGCAGGTAAATATATAGATATAAAAATAAATATATCACCGGGACAGAACAACATGGGAGGAAAACAATGTTTTTCCAGAGTTTTCTGCGTTTTTTTTTGTTTTTTTTGATGACTTCTGCCAACTTGTGATTTCAAAGCACGTCCATACGTTGTCAAGGACCTTCAAAAACACAGATTTTTTCCATATGTTCTGATGATTTCTGCCAATTTGGCTAATCAGTGGAATCCAAAGCATTTCCATAAGATGTCCGAAATCTCCCAAAACACTGTGTTTTTCCACGTTTTTTTTGGTTTTCAGTCATTCTAACTCTGAGTCATTCTAAGTTGCTACTCGGGGGGGCCTTTTTTCAGTCATTCTAAGTTCGGGGTATCGTCGTTTGGAACCCCGCACCTCATTCTAAGTTCCAGTCCGGCACGATAATACATGCATACATACATACATACATACATACATACATACATACATACATACATACGTTACATACTACATACATACATACGTTACATACATTACATACATTACATACATACATACATACATACATACATACATACATACATACATACATACATACATACATACACACATACACACATACACACATACACACATACACACATACACACATACAGACATACAGACATACAGACATACAGACATACATACGTACGTACATACACACACACAACATACATTACATACATTACATACATATCATACATAAAACATAACATACATAACATACATTACATACATAATATTCATACCATACAAAACATACATAACATACATAACATACATAACATACATACATAACATTCAAAACATACACAACTTACATAACATACAAATGTTACATTACATAACATTACATAACATAACAATACATTACATACATACATGTACAGTACAGTGTACCGTGTACCGTGTACATTGTACAGTGGACAGTGTACAGTGTACAGTACACAGTACACAGAGTACAGTGCAGAGTACAGTGCAGAGTACAGTGCAGAGTACAGTACAGAGTACAGTACAGAGTACAGTACAGAGTACAGTACAGAGTACAGTACAGAGTACACAGTACAGAGTACAGAGTACAGAGTACAGAGTACAGAGTACAGAGTACAGAGTACAGAGTACAGAGTACAGAGTACAGAACAGAACAGAACAGTGCAGTACAGCACAGTACAGCACAGCACAGTACAGTACAGATCAGTACAGTGCAGTACATACATACCATACATACCACACATACCATACATTGCATACATTACATACATCACATACATCACATACATCACACACATTACATACATTCCATACATTCCATACGTTCCATACATTCCATACATTCCATACATACCATACATACATACCATACATACCATACATACCATACATACCATACATACCATACATACCGTACATACTGTACACACCATACATACCATACATACCATACATACCGTGCATACTGTACATACCGTACATACCGTACATACCTTACATACCATACACACCATACATACCATACATACCATACATACCATACATACCGTACATACCATACATACCATACAGACCAACACACATACAGATAGATACATACATACCTACATACATACATACCGCCCATCCCAGTCTTGGCCCCAGGCTGTTTGTCCCTCCTTACGTACCTACCACCTTGCTAAATGCATGATTAGATTGGTATTAGATGAATGGCTCCGCCGACTGTTTTAATGCCGGGAGTGCTACAAAAGAATTCCCTACAAGACTCCTACAAGGGGGCTGCAGCATTTGTAGTTGGACAAGATTGTTTTGTGAGTCTTTTCATTCCTGGTGTGTTTGGGCTGGTAGACAGTAAAAGCATGGCCTGAGCGAATTTCGGCACATTTGATTTCAACCAGGTGCCTATTCCCAGTCCTCAGAAGGGCCCGGCAAGCTTGAGGCAAATCCTTGCTGGTTACGTAACTGCTAGGCAGAGATAGCTGGTCACCCTGGCTTTCAAGGTGTTTGGTAGCGCAGCCTGCTGACATCTTCGGGAAGATCACTGCTTGGGAACTCGAGATAGAGGTGCTGGGAATCATCCCTCACAGCTTTCAGTGCATGGACAGGTGGACATCTGGATTTTGTCAGAAGCAGTCATAGACGCTCCTGTAGTCCGTGTTTTAATAGAAACGATCTTGTAGCTGGAGTGAAGCTCCCAAAATGGTGCAGATTTTTGTTTTCTCCGACCAGAAATCGATCTGCAGTCCAGTGGTGTCTACATGGAGCTCCTTGCACTGCGGCCCATCTTGGTGGGTTGGAAACAGGCCAAGTAAATGACCTTTGTGGACGCTTCAAGTTACATACGCATTAATTGATCCAACGGTAGTTGTGGACATGGCTAATCAGCAACACATGTTGAATCTGGCGACTGTCGCACAAAGAAGGTTACCCCCTTTCCACACACGCAAGAACACATAAATGTTGCAACTGACCGAATCCCTCACCGAATATGTCACCGAATAGGGTTGCAAAACCCTTTGACTTCATATCAGTCATGGAAACTCTGTCCGGTCGCTGGCGCTGGCAGTCTACTTTAAGGTCTTTTGTCGATATCAGACATCCAATATGTCTGTGTTGAAGCCTAATTTTAGTCTCTGTGATGACCTTCACAGAGCCTTAGGCTCAATTTTTTCTCTCTTTTGATATGGGCGCAAGCCGTCTTAGCTGGGCAACGCTCAGCTCGAACCCGAGCAGCGTGTGGAATGAGTGAATGAATGGACGCTTCAAGTTGCGACGAATGACGAAGATGGTATGCCAGGGCAAGCAGAATACCTACAAGATTCTGGGCCAGGACCCAAGGCCCACCATGTTTCTCTTGTTTCGTCTTTCTCAAAACTGAGGCAGCTCTGGGCCAATATGGGTAAGCCGAACATCCAAGTATGTACTTCTCCCATGTTTGCGGCGGCTTTGGCTGATCGTTTTGATCGTTTTGATCGTTTTGATCGTTTCGTCATGGTGGAAGCCTGCCTTTATTGGCTCGGAAAGCATTTTGGGTGATGGGATCACAACCCACAAGCTTGTTCCGGGTTTCATTCTACAGTGAGAAGGGAATATGGACTGGTAAAACATGGTAAAACATGGTAAAACTAGGACACTTCGATCTTTGAGTGGCCCAAGTATTGATTCATTCACCCGGTCACCCCGTTTTGTTTCCCCGTCTTTCTGGCTGCTGCCCTTCGTTTGTTCACCTGTGAACTTGCTTCCATCCTCGCCTTCCAATGCTTTAGAGTGTCTCATGTGGCCAGGTGAACCACAAGCAGTTGGAGGGAATCGACATCCAGCCCCACGATGTGGTCTCGGACTTGTTTTTTTTTCCCGGTCTCAATCTTCACATATCTTCACATGCTGTTCGTCTCGACTGAGCTGAGGTGGGCTTTGGCGTTTTCCTGGATGGCCAAAACATGAGTTCTACGGAGCTTGCCAACCAAAGCTCTGAAAAGGCTCTGTTGTCACTTTTGGTCTCTATTAGCTTTCCGACATGGATTTGGCAGCCAATATATAGGTGTGATTCCAATCTGTTCATCTCGCACTCCTGGCAGTTGTGCATCGGCTCCCGGGGTTGCGAAAAGGCCAGACTTCAGGGCAGACTGTCAGACTGGGTCAAGTCAGAGGGTTGGTTCAGTTGGTTTGGAATGTTTCTGTATGTTTCTGTATGTTTCTGCAGTCTTGTCCTTGGGTTTCTATGTTTTCTTCTTTGGCCTCTGGCCGCTAAACTGGCCGCAGTGATGCAGTGTTTGCAAAGTTGCGCTAGGCAAACTTTTGCAGTTTCGATAGTCTACCACCAAAGGTGGGGGAGTGTTGAAGCTGTGACGCATCTCTTAAAGTCCGCTGGGAAAGGGTTTGTGACAGATACTGTACTCAGATTCTGTATGTTGCTTGGGGAATCAAGACTGCAACCTTTCAGAGCAGAGGGGCCTGATGTCGTTTGCCATCACTAGATTTTGTTGTTTCGGTTTCTCACTCTCTGATTCCGCGTGTGCGTTGAGAGACGTGATCAATCCCGTTTTCGTTGCGTTTTGAACCCTTGACTGGAACCATTTCCCAGGCATTTTGAACCTTTCGGTTTTTTAAATACAGATTTCAGGCTCGGAGGCCTTTTTTAAATACAGATTTCCTAAAGCTCGGAGGCCTGGAAACCCACATGCCCTACACTTGTAAACTAACGTTCCAAATCCCGAATGACCCTTACTCCAAGAATCTAGGCCATCGCCTTGGAGAGTGCCCACCAACTTGCGGAGAATTGGTTCTGTGAATCTTTATCGGATGGTGTTTGGTATCCGCAAGTTTGACGATTTTCTGCGCTTACCAGTAGACCTAGCACTACCGAAGAAACTGACAGGAGCCGTCAATGTTTCATAGAATCTTGTCACATCCTTTACGATGATGTGCATCTTGAGATCGCTACTCAAATATATCGTCTGCATGAAGCTTGTCAAAGCTGCCTGCAGAAGATCAATGCTTTGATAGGAAACGCTTCAATCTTGGATACTTCGGGAAACCACCGTTTCCACGTTTCCACCATCAATTCTCGAGATATGCTGGAGGGATGGTTTCAGAGAAGCTGTATGGTGCTTGTATAGCTTCTTCCTGGCCAATAAGAAGATGAAGCCAATCTCTCCACAAAGAACATTCTATATAGATTCTATTACAATTATTACAGCGTATTGAACAGGTGCTTTAAGCGGTGCTTTTCACACATTTTCAAAGAAATTTGACATGCGCATTGTAGGGACGACGGCATGGGTGGGGGATCAGCGCCTAGCGGCCTAGCGGCCTAGCGGCCAGGAACTTTGGACCAAGCTTGAAGTTCGCAGGGTGTTTGTCTCAGAAATGGCACTGATTACTGGGGTCGTTTCATGTCGTTTCGGGATTGCTGATTGCTGATTGCTGAGCTTTTTGGGCTGTTTCTCTGTTTCAGGTCGTTCCCCACGTGGAAGCGAATCCCCCTTCCAAACCAGCTCGTCGGCAGAAGTTCTTCAAAGCAGGGATGCCTTGTTGCCAGGGCTCCACCATGCCTCCTTTGATAGAAAAGATGTCGTCCTGTCGTCAGGTAATGGAGGCCTTGGATATCTCCAGCTTCGTGAATGTCAACACCACCTATGAGGCAAGATGAAGGGTGTTGTCTGGAATTCAGTCGGGGAATGTCCACTCATCACAGGTCTATTCTATTTCATTCTGTTTCACAGTGTTTCACTTTGTCTATTCGCCCTCCACCATCGCAGGAGCTGCTAACCCTTCGGCAAAGATTGGCCCGGGCCCAAGCATTGGCGGATCGTTGGTGAACTGAGGTTACTTCAGTTGCAATGTGACAAGGCATGACATCAAGTAACCCTGCTCCAAGGATCACCCTGACCTGGGGATCTTCGAGGCGCATATCCTCTTGAAGCGATATTTGCTCAACTGCATGGCCGCATGGCTTTGACCTAATGCAACAGATTGCAGCAGCCTCTTTCAATCGCACCGCAAGGATAAGATCCGGCTCCGGAGGGAGCTGCTGCCAGCCGCTGGTGTTCTGGCCACCCCAAGCCCCAGCCTGAGCAATTTTCGTAGCACCACGGTACCCTTGGTACTCGTACTCCTTGGTACTCCTTTGGCTCTTCCCCGCTGTTGTTGCACGTTCCACTATGTTCCCAAGGCATTCACCTTTCAAACGACGACTTTGACATCATTCGTTTCCTTCATGGTCGGAAAAGCTACGTGGTTTGCCGATGCGAGCTTGCGGTTTTTGCGTTTTTTTGCAGTTGCATGCTGGACTCTTTCCCCAAGACCGGTGTAGGGGCCTGTCGAGTGCCAGGTGAAACCTTCGCACATGTCCGAGTCACAGAATGTCTTCGTGGTTCACGATGGCGGTCGCCTCAAATGTCAATCGTACTTGTGCTTCGGCCAAGATGCTTTGCAGCTTCGAAATTGCTAGTATGCAAGAGGGTTGTTATGCCTGAAAACAAAACTATGATTTCATGTCATTGGTTAGGTAGGTCTGGGACAGGAAGGTGACTCTGAAGAGCTTGTTCAAGCTTGATCGTGGAAATCCGATTCGGATATGATTTATTTATTTTATATATGTTCATATTTCTTTATATCTTTATACTGTGTGAAGTTCATCCCGTGGTGATCACTGAGGAACTGCCAGCACTCTCGTGCCATTTTGGCGCAAGTTCATCTGATCACTCCCAGGCTGAAATCTTTTTCTTGTGCCTCTCGGTGTCTGTGCATAAGGGCCTGGGAGTTGATCTAATGTCAAATTTTCCCCCTGCTCGATCGACATTCCCATCTGCTCAGTTTCGCCAGCAAGCCATGGCATCCTCTCGTGCTGCAGATTGGATCGGTCCTGATGACTCTGCAAGTGCGACAGGCTCAGCAGTATCGTGGAGTGTTGTTCAAGAAGGGGGAGCTCAGCCTGCAAGGATCCAGTACCCTGCTCCAAAGCCGCCGCCCAAAGGCTTTGAGAAGAAGGTGATCCCAGAGAGCGCTCCAGCTGGCCAAGAGGAGGTGGAGTCTGAACCTGATATGCCTCCTCATGATGGATGGGATGCAGATCTGCCAAAGACAGCTCCACCACAAGCGGCTCCAGCTGTTCAAGCAGCAAAGCAGCTCCTGGGTAGTGCTCAAAAACAGGCTGCGAAGATCGCCTCGCAGAATGCCAAGGCTCGGAAGAAAGGGCATCGCGGCATTCGCTGGGGCCAGATGCCGGCGGCCAACGCTCAGAATTTTCAGTTGCCCCCTTACGTTCAACAATTGGGGGCAAAGGAGCATGAACGATCGGTGCTTGTCATTGACAGCAGAGACAAGCGGATCCAGTCTCCTTACCAAGGTTGGCTTCTGGACGAGATCTTGCTGAATGCTCAGAGTGGCATCAATGTGCTGTCCGATCGACAGTTAGTGAGATCTCCAAACACGGGCTATCACTTCAACCTGTTCTATGTCCGCACTCTGGATGGGTTCAAGTTTGTGTTGGTCGGCTCGATGACCTCGTATGGGACAGTTCCTTGCGCGAAGTGGGACTATCCTACGGGGCAAGTGCTCTCGCACCCAGCCTTCCAACCGTTCAGATGGCCTATGATGACAGATGATGGATCCACATGAGTCGACGTCAAGGTCAAAGTGGAAGGTGAGTTGCTGCTCCACCTTGAACTGCGTGGTTACCGATCGGACCAGGATATGACGGTCCAGTTGAACTACATCAACGACTCGGTGATCCCGCGGTTGGATGAGATGCTCTTCATCCCTTCGGTCGCGGTCACGGTGTTCCAAGGGTGGAGAGTCATTGCTACCTCGTTCGAGGTTGGAGGGCGGCTCTATGCATGCAGTGATGGAGGCACAGTGGTTGCTCTTGATTTCCCACTTTGCCACTTTGAGATGAGAGTGACTGCAATCTCATCGTCGGACTCGATCGGGATGGATGCCGATCGTCTGGAGTTTCGCTTCAGGTCATCTGGAGACAAGGTTGACGTGTCGTGCTCCCAGGTGGTGGTCCCATCGACCTGGCTGGTCGTTTCGCGTGTGTCAGGCCCGACGCTCGTGAAGAACGCTCATTGGTGCCGTGACCACCATGCCAGGATCGAGGGTCCGGATCAGACTATGCAGCTCTCACAGCTGGCTGGGATCCACGCCCATTGGACGGCATCGATCGAAGCTGGCTCTGTGGAAGAGACGGGACCCAGAGTGGGGGCAGTTGCGGTGGAGTCTCATGCCTCCAACTTGCACTTCACCTGCGAGTCCCCTTTGTTCAAGGCGGAGAAGGCGATCGTGCCTCGGGAAGCTCTGGCCATACAAGCTCACAATGTAGAGCTCGAGCAGAAGACGGTCGTTTTGCCGCCAGTCACAGGTGGTCCATCGGTGGTGCCAGCTTCTTCGGTCTCTGGAAGTTTGCGAGCTCTCGCAGGGCCTATGGCGCCATCATTGACTGTGGCTCCAAATGTGCCTTCTGAGGTGGCTTTGACGGCCCCAGGAGAAGCTCCGACAGCCACCAATCTGCAGGGCGGCGCTGTGCATGTTCATCGCAGACCTTTGGAAGCTCGCCAAGGGGAACAGATGTCAGCAGCAGCGGTCACTCCGCAGTTCTTTTTGGATCGTGTCAGCCAGGCCACAAGCGGCTATGTGGCTGGATCCAGCACTGCGCAGCCTGGTCAGCCAGTCAGCTATGGACCCCCACCTGTTGTGGAAGAGGTCACAGATTGCTGAGGCAGACGGCTCCGTAATCCATCTTTTGAGATGCTTTCCTTCAGATTGGCATGATCGCCAAACTGCACAGCTTGTGAAAAGTTGTTGCAGCATTTCAGAGGGAAAGTTTTTGGACAAGTGATGTTTGTAATTTGACCTTGTGTTTTATTTTACTGCTTTGCTGAGTTTCCACTTTTGCTGAGGGTTGCCCGAGTGTTCACATCTCCCCCATTTTTCTTTTTGTGATGGGACGATCGTCCTTGGGCAACGTTGCCCTGCTCAGGCACGCCCCTCAGCAGTGTTGTTGTGGGAACTCAGATCAGACTGTCAGTGAGAGCGACTGATTAGTTTAGGTTTATCCCTGATCAGTCATCTCGCTCGGTTTGATCTGTAATCCGTGACATGTTCACATTCATTACATGTTCATGTCCTTGTGCTCGTGAAGAGCCGCCTCGTGAAGAGGTTAACATAATCGCTGAATTTCACTTCAATTGATGTTCATTGGGGGTTCATGCTACATGCACGTTATTTGTTCAGGCATTTGCTCATGACCTCACCCAGGTTGGTACACTCAATTTTTAGGAGAGTGGTGTTCCTTGGTGCTGGGTTTCATGTTGCTTTTGTCTTATTTGTTCAAATAATGTCATGTTCATGAACAGTTGCAAGATGGCTCAATCGAACGAGAGATGGGCATCCAAGATCTTATGCCTCCCTGTTTTCTCTGATGCTTTCGCCCAGGCCGTGCTCGCCTCGCCGTTCGCCAACTTGGCACTCATCTCGGCCATGGAGGTGCGTGTGGCGTCGGAGTTCGTTGTCAAGGTCCATGAGTGGGCTCCCACACTGGATGAAGGCATCAGGGATGTTTTACTGGAGAGCAGTTTTATGCTTGAGCAGTATTGGAGCCTGGCCTCGTCGATCGAGAAAGCCTTCTTTGCTTCAACTGCTCAACAGCTAGGTTTTGGTATGTGTGACCCTTTATCAGTTACTTTGAGTTCTGAAGCTGCCAAAGCCAGACGCTCTCTTGCGATCCGTGCTCTTGCTCAGAAGCCTGCCCAACCGCCTAGGAAGATCTTGAAGAAGCCGGAGGAGGAGGTGACTTCAACTCCGCTTCTGGATCAAGAGAATGCGGCCAGGCGCAAATGGGCAGCCAAGCTCGAGGACATAGGGAAACGTGCAGGGGAGTTCTCCAAACTGTTGATCGACACCACCAATAGTGAAGGGTTGTCAGCAGCTGAAACGGCACGGCTCAGACAGCTTCCCGGACGATGGCTGCCCATATTTCAGCCTGGGAAAGGTTTGAAGATTGGCTAGCCAGTGAACAGTTGGCTGTGTTCCCACTGACCCATGACAAGATCTTGAAATACGCTCTTGCATTGGATCAGAAGGAATGTGGCCCTTCTGTGTTGCCGTCCTTTAGAACTTCAGTTAAATGGGTGACCTCCAAATTGGCGATCGAGTGCCCTGATCTAGCTCACCCCGCACTGCTGGCTGTTCAGGCAGAGATCGTCAAGAAGAGGAACACGACCTTGAAAGAGGCCGTCCCCATCCCAATTGCAGCGGTCGCTTGCTTGGAGCTCTTTGTGGTGGATCCGAACGAACCGGATGCAGCGAGGCTCTTTGCATGGTGGTGGCTCTGCATGGTTTTTGCTTCTCTGAGGTTTGATGATGCTTTGCATGTTAAACCCCAAGAACTTGTTTTAACTGATCAGGGTCTTTTTGGGATCGCGTGGCAGACCAAAGTGGAAAGGCGCAGGCGAGGCACGAAGTTCGTAGTGCCGCACGTAGGGTTCAAGGATTCGGCTTGGCTCGAGACAGGCTGGGAGTTGCTCCTCCTTGAGAACCCTGATCGAGACTACTGGATGCGGGACCTTAACTCTCGTGAAGAGTTTCGTGATGCCCCTGCGTCCTACCAACGATCAATGCAGTGGCTGCGAACGCTAGGCCAAACCGCCGTGACCCAGTTCATGAACGGCAATCAAGAAGAGATCAATGCGGTGTTGGACCGGCTCTCAGAAGTGACAGCTCATTCAGCCAGAGTGACGTTGCTCGACGCTGCGGTCCACGCCGGCCGCTCCACCGAGGAGATAGGCCTCCAGGCGAACTGGAAGAACCCTGGTCCTTTGGTGCTTAAGTACACTCGTAATCGCACCAGTGTTCCGGCTCAGATGGTGAGACAGCTCGTCCAGGATATGATCGAGAATGAGCATCCAATCGAGCCACCAGAGGGGGCCATCCTTGATGGAGAGGATCCTTCGGCGCTTGAGGACGTTCAGTTCTTTGTCAAGTCTTCGGGCGCCAGGCAAGCTCATGACTATAGGCACCGCTGCTCTCAACTTGGGGATCCCACAGCGTTAGCGTGTGGTCGCCTTCCTTTGGACGAATGCTCGTCTGTAGGGTCAGCATTGCCAGATGCAGCAGTTCTGTGCAAACATTGTGCTAAAGCTCGTCCTGACGTAGCCGCTCGCTGCTTCTCTGTGAGTCCGGGCTCTCGTCATGCCTGAGCCGAGCCTTTGCTGCATCTTATTTTCTTTTTCGTTTAAGTTTAGCCTGGTGGCAGAAGTTCTTTAACTTTGATTTTGTGAACGGCCAGAAATTTTTGGCCCCCTAGCACAGTCATTGACAATGGTCGATCGGACCGTGTATACGGCGGATAAGACCCCAGATCTGCCCTTGAGACAGATCCTGGGCCGTCAACGGGTCTCCAATGAGCTCTGCAAGACTGCGGCTGACGCGGGATTGCTCAATGTGGAGACCTTTGCGATGCTGGGCGACAACATCGCGGGGGTCAAAGCCACTCTGAAGACGATCATCCCAGACCCGGCATCCTTTGGCCCTGATGCGCCCTCACAAGAGCTCGCGTTGACCGCTCTCGCGGCAGTTTGGAAGACCTGCTCAACCATGCAGGACCATTTCGCGGCTCGAAGGGCCAAGATGGAGGAGGATCCCTCGAAAGTCCCCGAAATCCCTGGCGAAGATCATGCTGAATTTAGGGAGACTTTCGTGGCTCGCCATCCAGATGTGGTTCTTCCCTTGCACCGGGAACCCCACAGAAAGTTCGTCGAGCGTGTTCAACGGGACTACTTGGTGCATGGCTTTGTGCATTTCTATGAGGTCGGCGAGATCCGCACCCGGAACGAGCAGATCGCTCAAAAGTCAGGCCTCACGAAGAATGCCGAGGATTTGCTCCGGGTGGTGATGATCGATCAGCCCACCTCTGCCAGCTCCGAATCACAGGTCATGGACAAGTTGCACGCGTTCTTCATCACCTTAGAATATCTGAACATTTGCGAGTTCTCGTTTGCGGCCGGCCCCCTCAAGTACCTCTCGGAGCTAGAGGAGTGGCGCCACGAAAACCGAGGCTTGGCCCTGTTGCTCACCGTGGACACGCTCATCCGCAAGAAGGTTCATCGAGTCAGTTCTGACCAGCGCAAAAGTTTTGGATCATTTTCTGCGGCTCTGCTAGAGGTGCTCGCGAACCACAAGCAACTCTGGAATGATGCTCGCTCCAGTGCCGAGCTGGACAAGTTCAAACAGGCGGGTCAATTCCCGGCTCCTTCAACTCCAGCCAAGAAGCGCTCGCGGTCTCGCTCGGGTTCAGCAGTGAAGACTTCTCCGAAAGCCAAGAAGAACCGTGCTCGGAGGGTCAGGCAGAAAGCTCAGCTCCAGAAGGCCAAGGACGTTCTCAGCAAGAGTTCTCCCAAGGAATCCGCCTCTGGGGCCGCTCGGCCTGCACGCGATGAGCGGGTGCCAGCCAAGGAGTGGCAGAAGATCACGGCTTTCAAATATGGGGGCCCGAAGCGTTGCCCTTTCTACAATTGCTCTCTCGGTTGTCGTTTTGGTGACAGCTGCAGACAGAAGCATGCCTGTGTCGAGTGTGGTAAGGACCACCCTTGGCATGGCAACCACTGAAGCGACGAGGGAGGCCAGGTGGCCTTAGAGGCTCGGCCACCTGGCACTTGGGTCGATCGACCGGCCGCCCCAAGTGACCGCTCTGCCAGTGATGTGAGTCAGAGCGTGAGTGAGGCAGCAGAGTCTGATCAGCCCTCCTTTGCCTGGTCCAAAGGCCTAGATGGAGTTCCTGCGTTGCATGCTCGGGGGCCCTACTTTTTGGAGCTCTTCTCGGGCACGGCGGGCCTGTCTGAGGCTGTTCAGCTGCGCGGCGTTCCCACTTTGCCGCCGGTTGACATCGTGGTCTCCCCCTTGGTGCCAGAACCAGTGGACCTCATTGTGCTCACCTCAGGTTTGGTCTTCTTCTTGCATTGTGGGACACCGTGCAATACCTTCACGGCAGCTCGGAAGCTTGACGGTGGGCCTCCGCCGTTGCGATCGGCGCTCCGTCCTATGGGTTTGCCGGATCTGTCACAGGACAACCAGTGTTTAGTCCTGCTTGGTAACATTTTTCTTTCCAGGTCGGCTGAAGCTTGTTTCATTGTTTCTCATTTTGGGGGGGATTTCTCGATCGAAAACCCTCTCCTTAGTTTGATTTGGGTCACTGCAATCATGGAGCAACTAGTGGCCGATACTCGTGCTCTTGCGCTGGACTTTGATCAATGTGCTTTTGGGGCCTTGTCGCTGAAGCCGACGCGGCTGCTATGCTCTTCTGAACTGCTCGACGACGTTCAGATGCGCTGCCCGGGCGGTCATCGCCATGTGAAGCTCAAGGGCAAGATGCGGGATCCCCAGACTGGCTACTGGGTCTTTCGGACCAAAGCTGCTCAAGTTTATCCATGGGCTCTGTGCGCTACTATGGCAGAGGCGATTGCGGCTCTCTACAATGATGCGCTGGCGCACTTCGCTCCGTCCTTTGCGCTCACCACACCGGCAAGCGATCGCAAGCGCCCCCTTGGGTCAGGCAAACCTTGGCTTGGTCATCGTCAAGAGGCCACAGCTCTGAAGGCGCAGTGGGCTGGTTACCAGCTCAAGCGGGGTGCCGCCAAGCCCCTCTTTGAGTTTGAGCTCGAGCCGGGCCAGGCGATTGAATTTGCGCTCCGGGTGCCACACCCTTTCACTTAGAGCGTGCCTCTGGATGATCAGTCGTGCCGAGCTTTGGTCAGGCTGCAGCGTGATGCATCTGTTATCCTGCACGAGCGTGCCCAGCTTTTGCAATTTTGGGAACAGCGGGCTCGGCTCGTGCACTGCTGCCCCGCTCAGTGGCTCTGATCCGGCGTCATCCTGATCCTGCTCTACGCCGTCTACTTCTGGGTGCGCCTGAAGATCAGGCGCCGCAGTTGGGGAAAGTGTGTCACATTGAGCTCTATGCCGAAATGCTGCGTGAGGTGCGCTCAGTGGACATGGAGCTCCCTCAATTTCTTCTGCATGGCTTCCCGATCGTGGGCCCGATCGCCCCGACCGTCCGGTGGCCTCCCTACGAGAAGACTCAGAAGGTCGTCCCCGTGGAGGAGGCATTGAAGCGGGCCTGGGATCTGAGGCGGAAGATTGTCAACCGTGTCCACGCAGTACCTGTCACACAGAATTTGATCAAGATTTGGGAGGCATCGCTCGAGGATGCGAATGAAGGCTCATGTTTGGGACCTTTTGCGTCCGAAAGTGAAGTGTCCAAGATCTTGGGTTGCGAAGACTGGATCCCTACGCAAAGGTTTGAGGTAGTCCAGAAGAACAAGGTTCGTGGATGCGACAGCGCCACCACCAACATGATCAACCAAATCACGGAGATCTCTGAGAAGCTCCAGCTGCCGTCAACGGACTCTAATGTGGCTGCACTGAGGCGTCTACGCTCGTTGAAGCCGGAAGAAGCTCTCTGCGGTTGGGTCCTTGACGAGCGAAAAGCTTATCGCCAAGTGGCAGTGAGACCTGATCAGAGGAAAATTTCTGTGATTTGCTTGAAGAACCCTGAGGTTGGCTCCCCTCATTTCTTCATCATGGTGGGTCATTCTTTTGGTCTGGTATCTGCTGTCTATAACTACAATAGAAGGTCTGCTGCGATCAACGAGATCTTGGTCTCTTTGTTTGGTTTGCTCGCTTTCAGTTTCTATGATGATAAGTACGGCTTCGAGCCGGCCTCGACAGTGGCCAGCGCCAAGCAGATCGCTGAGAGTGTTCACTTCTGGCTAGGCGCCCAGTTTGATCAGAAGAAGCTGCAGCTATCCAGGTCACCCACGATCCTGGGCGTTACTTACAACCTGGAGCTTATGCAACTGGAGATCAAGGCCGATCGGAAAGAAGAGCTCTCTAGCGAAATCGACGCGATCTTGGCCTCTGGCTTACTGGATCCGGGCTCTGCGGGGAAGCTGAAAGGCAAGCTCATGTTTGGTGCCTCGCAGCTATGGGGCAAGGTAGGCCGTGCATTTCTCAGAGTGATCTCGGAACGGCAATACTTGCGCTTCCCGATCGGCTCAGAGTTCAAGCTGGACCCGCCCTTGCGTGAGGCTCTATTGCAATGGAAGAAGCTTGTTCAGCATGGTCCCCCACGGCCTATTGACATGGTCGGCGAAAAGTGCTCAGACGCGGTGATCTTCACGGATGGATTCACCCCGGATCCTCGCTCTGCAGAGAAGCTGCCCGATCGTGTTGGTGCAGTCCTGTTTGATCGGCGCTCCCGCAGGCCTCAGCAGTTCACTGCTGTAGTGCCTGAGGAAGTGAAAAACAGGTGGCTCACCCGCAGCACTCAGATTGTTGATCGCTGCCGTCTTGGCGATGGAAACCTTCGCTGATCGGATCCGAGGTGCAGACATTTTGTTGCTCATAGATTCGGAAGCCGTGGAGTCTGCGTTGATCAAAGGATACTCAAGCAAAGAAGATCTTTGCCATCATTTCAGTGTTTTGGGACCTAGCTTTTCAGCTGCGAGTTAGAGTGTTCATCGATAGAGTTTCGACAGACGCCAACCCAGCTGATTGGCCTTCCCGTAACAAACTCCATTTAGGCGAAGCGGTAGGATGGCAGACTGTTCAAGTGATCTGGCCGTCGGCCTTGAAGTAGGCATGTTCGGGCCTGGGTCGTTTGTTCATGCCTTAGTGTGTTCTCTAACCTTTGAGTCAGCTCGACATGATCTGTGAAAGGTCAGTGTTAGCTGTTCAGGTATGAGGATCTTGGTATGAACGAACATCAGTTTTTGCCCTGTCATCTGCTCTGTAGATTTTCGAGAAATCAATCAGATCGAAGATACTGCTCGCCCCACGCCATGAGCAGTGTGTCCAAAAAGTTCAAGGTGCGTGGGCCACTGCTCTGTTGCATTCATTTGATCAAGTTTGAAAGTGATCCATATCACGTCTTTGCTCGGCTTGAGTCGATTTCATGTCATCGGTTAGGTAGGTCTGGGACAGGAAGGTGACTCTGAAGAGCTTGTTCAAGCTTGATCGTGGAAATCCGATTCGGATATGATTTATTTATTTTATATATGTTCATATTTCTTTATATCTTTATACTGTGTGAAGTTCATCCCGTGGTGATCACTGAGGAACTGCCAGCACTCTCGTGCCATTTTGGCGCAAGTTCATCTGATCACTCCCAGGCTGAAATCTCCCAACCCAGCCCGCCCTGTACGAATTGTACAGGGTGAGGCTTGCTGCTGCTCGCTCACCCTTTGACCATTTCGGAGTTCTCGTGAAGAGTTCTTAGATTGCTGAGTGTGCACGCAGAATTTTTGATTCAGCCTTGAGGAAGGGGTCGTTTGTTCATGCCTTAGTGTGTTCTCTAACCTTTGAGTCAGCTCGACATGATCTGTGAAAGGTCAGTGTTAGCTGTTCAGGCATGAGGATCTTGGTATGAACGAACATCAGTTTTTGCCCTGTCATCTGCTCTGTAGATTTTCGAGAAATCAATCAGATCGAAGATACTGCTCGCCCCACGCCATGAGCAGTGTGTCCAAAAAGTTCAAGGCGCGTGGGCCACTGCTCTGTTGCATTCATTTGATCAAGTTTGAAAGTGATCCATATCACGTCTTTGCTCGGCTTGAGTCATGACTATATATACTATTCAACCGCGGATTGATCAACACTTTGGGCTGTTCAACCCGGGAGTTGTCGCATTCGAGTAGAAGACCGTCAATTTTGAGGGGTAGATACCATAACTCCTCAAACTGATCAACATCATCAGTGCATAATCAGCCAGGTTCAGCTCCGCCTTGTCTGAGGCCGAAACCTGTTGAAAATGGCATGGGGACAGCCGTTTAAGGTTTACCTGGAAGAGATCCAGGACAGCTCAGCTGATGTTTCTGGATAGATTACGGATGATCAAGGTGGTCAATAAACAGTATAAAGATATGCCCGGTCATCCAAATGCAGAAACCCAGGAAGGGTCTGAACCTGAATACATTCTTTGTGAAGTTGAAGAAGGGGGCATTGACCAGTAATCGAAGTGTTCAACTGACAATGTGTTGAAGATGCGCTGCAGAGACGTAACCACTGTCGGCTGCTGGCTTGTAGTTCTAGTGATTGTTGCCCCGACATGCGCTTTGCAGCTTTTGTACACGGGCTGTTATTTGTGGTTGTGTGTAGGCTTCATTAGGCTTCACTTCACCTGTCGTTTCTACAACAACACTGCAACATTTGTATTTGAGCTGCAGGCAATACATAGAACTACATCCAACTGTCATAGTTTTTCCACTTTTTTCCCATCTTATTGGCTCTGTTTAAAGATTTTAAAGAGTTGATCCAGGATGCAGTGAACGGTTTCAGCAAGAAGACAGCCTTGGAATGGGAGCCTGGACCTTAGACCACGGCCAGATCGAGGAATTGATCCTCTGGTGATTCACGGCTTCAGGTGTCGAGCACTGGTGTCTTCCAAACCAGGCGTCATAGTGGAAGAGCTGGTTTTGGCTAACAAGGTGGGCTGAGCTGTGAAACGCCATGCTTTGAGATCCATCAGGTGTGGTTCTACTGTTCTATCCTTGTTCCCAATGCTTTGCTAAAGGCCCTTGGCAATGTCCGCAACCTCTTGGTGGATGAGTACAAGCCAGCATCTTTGACCAAGGCATTCCTTGCCATTCCATTGCCATCCACAGTTCCCATGGCCACAGTGCCTAAGGTTCTTCACCAGCTGGGGCGAGACCATCTTTGCTGAGAATGTCCCCTGGTCCATGGGTACCACTATGGAGATCTCTCGTGAGGGTCATATTTTGTCCGCCAAGGCAGATGTGATTCGAGAGTCCAACGGGATTGAAATTTCTGGATGTTGATGGGAATATAGGGTATTTAATGGATACTTATGGATTTCAATGTGTTTTCTATTGTTTTCCAACGTGATCACTTATGGGAACAATTTGGTATTTCAGCACTGCCAGGAAAGCTGCCCACCCATCTGTGTGCCGGCCTGTTATCCCCAAATGGTCCAAATTGCGGAGAAGGCGACGGAGCAGCAGCAGCAAGATCGAAACCTAGAAGCAGATGCGAGAATTAACTGATCACATCAAAGGCGTGGCTTTTTGGCCCGGCACAAGTTTGGGTACTGTCACCATTCCTCCACATGAGAGGTCGCAACGTATGCTCGCACTGATTTCTTGCGAGTGGACATTCTTGCAAGGAGCCCAAGAATCTAGCTTTCAAACTTGAACATACAAGCTTTGGGGGCCAAGATGGGCCAAGATGGGCCAAGATATTGGTCACTTCAATTGAGCGCACAGATGCATTACTTAAAATTAAAGGACCGGATAACCCCACAAGTCAACTTCTTCCAATAATGAGTTTCAAAGGTTGTAGCGGGGTCGGAGAAGGAAGGAAAGACAAAGGAGGTGGTGAAAGACTGTGTGTGAAAGTATGTGAAAAGATAGTATGCATGTACGTATGTATGTATGTACGTACGTACGTACGTACGTATGTATGTCTGTATGTACATACGTACGTATGTATGTATGTATGTATGTATGAATGTATGTATGTGTATGTGTGTGACAAAGTTGCGCGTCTGGTGGTGTTTCTTCCACTAGATAGTGACTTGTCACTGAAGGCCAGAAAAGAAACAAGATATGCTTACCACGGAAATTCTTTGTGGGATCCAAGGGTGTGTGCTGAACACTAGGTCTCACGACGTGTCTCACTCGCCTTCTTCGAGTTCCACCAGGCTCTGATGGTTTTTTCCCCGACGTTGCTTCCCGAAAGAGCTTTTATGGCAGAGCCCTCTATCAAAGCGATGGTGTGCTCTCCATACTTCCGCTGACCAAAGTAATGTTCTGCACTCTTTCGGGCGAAGCCGCAAATTTTGCGAACTCTTTCTGCATGCCCTGTGGCTGGTAATCATACCTGGTAAATAGTCATGATCAACTGCTGGCGTCATGGACGTGAGATTGTGCCCACCGCGTGCCACGTGAAATCAAGGTGTATGTCACCAAGTGCCATCAGTGAGGCGCCTGCCACGCAAAACGACCTTGCATGTAATCAAGGTGGACGTCACCAAGTGCCACGCCTGCCACGCAAAGTGCCGCGGCGTCACAGGCGACAAATCCGGACCAAGCGCGCCACCCAGTACCATGAGTGCCACGCCTGCCACGCAAAACGACGGTGGATGCGAGTTTTGTGCCACGCGTGCCACGTGAAACGAGGGTGGATGTCACCAAGTGCCACGCCTGCCACGCAAAGTGCCGCGGCGTCACAGGCGACAAATCCGGACCAAGCGCGCCACCCAGTACCATGAGTGCCACGCCTGCCACGCAAAACGACGGTGGATGCGAGTTTGTGCCACGCCTGCCACGTGAAACGAAGGTGGATGTCACCAAGTGCCACGCCTGCCACAAAGTGCGGCGTCACAGGCGACAAATCCGGACCAAGCGCGCCACCCAGTACCATGAGTGCCACGCCTGCCACGCAAAACGACGGTGGATGCGAGTTTGTGCCACGCCTGCCACGTGAAACGAAGGTGGATGTCACCAAGTGCCACGCCTGCCACGCAAAGTGCCGCGGCGTCACAGGCGACAAATCCGGACCAAGCGCGCCACCCAGTACCATGAGTGCCACGCCTGCCACGCAAAACGACGGTGGATGCGAGTTTTGTGCCACGCCTGCCACGTGAAACGAAGGTGGATGTCACCAAGTGCCACGCCTGCCACGCAAAGTGCCGCGGCGTCACAGGCGACAAATCCGGACCAAGCGCGCCACCCAGTACCATGAGTGCCACGCCTGCCACGCAAAACGACGGTGGATGCGAGTTTTGTGCCACGCCTGCCACGTGAAACGAGGGTGGATGTCACCAAGTGCCACGCCTGCCACGCAAAGTGCCGCGGCGTCACAGGCGACAAATCCGGACCAAGCGCGCCACCCAGTACCATGAGTGCCACGCCTGCCACGCAAAACGACGGTGGATGCGAGTTTTGTGCCACGCCTGCCACGTGAAACGAGGTGGATGTCACCAAGTGCCACGCCTGCCACGCAAAGTGCCGCGGCGTCACAGGCGACAAATCCGGACCAAGCGCGCCACCCAGTACCATGAGTGCCACGCCTGCCACGCAAAACGACGGTGGATGCGAGTTTTGTGCCACGCCTGCCACGTGAAACGAGGGTGGATGTCACCAAGTGCCACGCCTGCCACGCAAAGTGCCGCGGCGTCACAGGCGACAAATCCGGACCAAGCGCGCCACCCAGTACCATGAGTGCCACGCCTGCCACGCAAAACGACGGTGGATGCGAGTTTTGTGCCACGCCTGCCACGTGAAACGAAGGTGGATGTCACCAAGTGCCACGCCTGCCACGCAAAGTGCCGCGGCGTCACAGGCGACAAATCCGGACCAAGCGCGCCACCCAGTACCATGAGTGCCACGCCTGCCACGCAAAACGACGGTGGATGCGAGTTTGTGCCACGCCTGCCACGTGAAACGAAGGTGGATGTCACCAAGTGCCACGCCTGCCACGCAAAGTGCCGCGGCGTCACAGGCGACAAATCCGGACCAAGCGCGCCACCCAGTACCATGAGTGCCACGCCTGCCACGCAAAACGACGGTGGATGCGAGTTTTGTGCCACGCCTGCCGCGTGAAACGAAGGTGGATGTCACCAAGTGCCACGCCTGCCACGCAAAGTGCCGCGGCGTCACAGGCGACAAATCCGGACCAAGCGCGCCAGCCAGTACCATGAGTGCCACGCCTGCCACGCAAAACGACGGGGGATGCGAGTTTGTGCCACGCCTGCCACGTGAAACGAAGGCGGATGTCACCAAGTGCCACGCCTGCCACGCAAAGTGCCGCGGCGTCACAGGCGACAAATCCGGACCAAGCGCGCCACCCAGTACCATGAGTGCCACGCCTGCCACGCAAAACGACGGTGGATGCGAGTTTTGTGCCACGCCTGCCACGTGAAACGAGGGTGGATGTCACCAAGTGCCACGCCTGCCACACAAAGTGCCGCGGCGTCACAGGCGACAAATCCGGACCAAGCGCGCCACCCAGTACCATGAGTGCCACGCCTGCCACGCAAAACGACGGTGGATGCGAGTTTTGTGCCACGCCTGCCACGTGAAACGAGGGTGGATGTCACCAAGTGCGCCACCCAGTGCCATGTGTACCACGCCTGCCACGCAAAACGACGGTGTGTGTGTGAAGTGATTGTCTGTTAAGTTTGCGTATGTTAAGTTTGTGTGTGTGAAATTTTTGTATGTTAAGTTTGTGTGTGTGTGTGAAATTATTGTATGTTAAGTTTGTGTGTGTGAAGTTATTGTCTGTTAAGTTTGTGTGTGTGAAGTTTGTGTGTGTTAAGTTTGTGTATGTGAAATTATTGTATATTAAGTTTGTGTGTGTGAAGTTATTGTCTGTTAAGTTTGTGTGTGTTAAGTTTGTGTGTGTGAAGTTATTGTCTGTTAAGTTTGTGTGTGTGAAGTTTGTGTGTGTTAAGTTTGTGTATGTTAAGTTTGTGTGTGTGAAGTTATTGTATGTTAAGTTTGTGTGTGTGAAGTTATTGTCTGTTAAGTTTGTGTGTGTTAAGTTTGTGTGTGTTAAGTTTTTGTGTGTGAAATTATTGTATGTGAAGTTTGTGTGTGTGAAATTATTGTATGTTAAGTTTGTGTGTGTGAAGTTATTGTCTGTTAAGTTTGTGTGTGTTAAGTTTGTGTGTGTGAAATTATTGTATGTTAAGTTTGTGTGTGTTGTGTTACGGAGGCGGCGGGAGGAGGAGGAGAAGCCCGGGATACAGAATCAAAAACAAGAACCCCACACAAAGATGTGGGGAACAATAAAAAACACCTTAGAAGTCTTACAGTAGCACGTGTTCTTGTTGGCCGACTCGACCCAGATCTCCGGTGATTGCGAAGCTCTTTACGTCAGCGAGGCGTGTTAGCAACTCGGCACCAGGGTGGTGCCAGGATGCCAGCGACCAGGTGGAACTATTCCCTGCCAGCAACTGCACCCAATTCCTGAAGGCGGGGCCAGGTCTGGCGATGGAAGGTCTGCAACAAGAAGATGGCTGACAATGGCTGACAATAGCTCCAAGTGATGTAGTGATATGCTGAATGTATGGATGGGTTGAGTCGGAAAACAGCGCCACACTGGAGCCTTGTGTCCTGTTCCGAGGATGCTGTGGCCCGCAGATGGCGCAATGGATATGGTGTGAGCTGAGCAGCTGAGCCATGACATTTTCAGTGTGCAACGAGTTTGTCCATCCAAGCGGAACCGCTAGAAGGACATTGCGGAACATGGTAGCAGCTGGTAGCAAACTGTAGCAAAGCAAGAGGACCAGGAGAAGGAACTTGACGATGTTCCTTGATGAGTTGGAGAAAAAACAGAAAATTTGAACGAGGTCACTCAAACCGCAGGTCAAAGCACAACGCATCTTTTTCCTGGAACTGCCCTAAACTACTTGTCCAAGCTTTTGTCCTCTTTCGGGACTCTTTCAGGGATTGGCAGTTCAAAATTCTGCAAACATGTACGCATGCCATGGAAATTTCAACAATGAACATGCGCACAAGAATCTCAAACGTGACAAGGAAAAAAACATTTTCTTAGGTGAGAACTCTTAGGGGAGAACTGGCGACCCGTGTGGTTGTGAAGAGAAAAACAGCGCAATTCAGCGGTTTCCTGCGATGCTGCGGAATTTGAAACTCTTAGAGTCCGAAATGCAGTCTGCATAGTCTGCATTTCGTATTTCTGCATAGTCTGCACATGAAAGAAAAACCTGGCAAATGCAGAAATGTGAGATGCCTTCCAGATGACTCACATGCTTGCCTGGCAACTTCTTTTCGGCCCAAGAGCTTTGAATTCTTTTCCATCATGGCGAGTGAGGCCAGAAAGTCCTGGAAATGCTTTGCAGTCCAAATTGTTGCATTATTGTTGCATTAAAAGGTTGGATCGGTATGGATCGGTTGGATATCTTGCATGATTCGATCGATTCGATCGCCACCACGACACAGGCTGATGCCTTCATAAAGAAGGTATCCAGTGCAGGAGATGACTATTATCGAATTTTAGGTCGGGCAAGCAGATTCAACAAACAGATCAGATTTTACAAGCTTGAAGAAACTGCAATTCAACTTGTGTCTCCCTTCATTTCAATGCAGGTGTTGAAAAAGGTGCAAGTGATGATGAAATCAAAAAGGCTCGTGTGAAGAGCTATCTTTGACGTCATTGACATTTTCACGGACTTCTGGACTGGACAAACACTTCTGGACAAGGCCTACAGAAAGCTTGCCTTGCGTTTGCATCCTGACAAATGCAAAGAGCCCGGAGCGGAGGAGGTCGGGAGCTACGATTTGTTAACTTCACAACTTTTCCACATGGCATGGATGTCATGATATTTACTGGCAGGCCTTTAAAAAAGTTGGAGAGGCTGCCTCTGTTTTGACGGATGCAGACAAGAGGCCTGGAAAGATTCTTAGGAGTGAAGTTGCAAAATTTGACCAACACATAGATTTGTTGAATCGGTAAGTAAGGAAACCTGGCTTTGAGATATAGCCATAGCTAGATATTTGAAGTCTAAATAATGGGTACCCAAATTCATACAAAACCAACACGCCTCGTGAGTTTCGATCGCAGCAACCATGCAGATGGGCTGATTTTAGCCAGCTGTCAGGCGAAAGTACGATCAGTTTGGAGCTGACGCGCTACGAGGCGTGGAAGGTTCTCAGCGAAACATGGAGAAAGGCTGCATGGCTAATCTCCTCGGAATCAACCTGTATTACACATGTTGATATATTAATATGACTACTATATCTGCAGTCTAGATATTTTTATTTGGAGGGCTATTTATTTTTATTTAATTTTTTTTATTCGCGGCAGGTTTTTGTTTTTTTTTGGTTCCTGGTTCTATGCTTTCCTGTTTCTCTGCTTTTCTGCTTTTCTGCTTCTCTGGTTCCTGGTTCTATGCCATTCTATGCTTTCCTGTTTCTCTGATTTTCTGCTTTTCTGCTTCTCTGCTTTTCTGCTTCTCTGCTTACATTGCTACGCACTGCTTTTCCTGCTTTTCCTGCTTCTCTGCTTTCCTGCTTTTCTGCTTTTTGCTTTTCCTGCTTCTTTGCTTTTCTGCTTCTTTTGTTTTCCCTGCTTCTCTGCTTTTGTACTTCTGTGCCTTTCTACCTCTGCTATTCTACTTTTTCTTTTCTTCAGTCATGTGTTTTTGCTGCTCTACTTCCTGCTCCTTTGCTTCTTTGCTTCCTGTCTTTACTGTCTCTTTGTTTTTCATTTTCTTTTGCTTTTATTCTCACCTGGAAGTTAGCTGAACTCCTGTGTAACAACTCCTGCCCAACAATTTCTGTGCAAATGACCTTGCAGGAGTTTTGTAGGAGTTGTTCTGTTTGTATCCTAAATGAAACCCTAGAGAGACCCTAGGTGCAACCCAAAGAAAACCTAAAGAAATCCTGATAAGAAACCCTACATGAAGCCCTAAATGAACCCTAAAGAAACCATAAATGAACCCTAAAGAAACCATAAATTAATCCTAAAGAAACCATAAATGAAACTCTAAAGAAACCCTAAATGACACCCTAAATGACATCCCAAAGAAACCCTAAACAACACTCTGAAGAAAAAACTAAATGACACCTTAACTGACACCTTAGCTGAAACCCTAAATTGACACCCTAAAGAAACCCTAAATGAAACCCTAAATTGAAACCCTAAAGAACCCCCAGATGAAACCCTAAAGAAACCCTAAAGAAACCCTAAATGAAGCCCTAAATGAAACCCTAAAGGGGTGCTAAAGGAACCCACTTGAACTTTATGAAATCGTGAAAAGAAATCCTGATAAGAAACCCTGGAATGAAACCCTAAAGAAAGCTTAAATGAACTCCTGAATGAAACCTTAAATTGAAAGCCTAAAGAAACCTTAAATGAAACCCTAAAAAACTCTAAATGAAACCCTAAAGAAACACTAAATGAAACCCTAGAGAAGCCCTACTCTAAATGAAACCCTAAATGAAACCGTAAAGAAACCCCAAATGAAACCTTAAATGACACCCTAAATGAAACCCTAAATGAAACCGTAAAGAAACCCTAAATGAAACCCTAAATGAAACCCTAAATAAAACCCCAAATGAAGCCCTGAATAAAACCCTAAATAAAATCCCAAATGAAGCCCTAAATAAAACCCTAAATGAAACCTTAAATGACACCCTAAATGAAAGCCTAAAGAACCCTCAAGAGACCCACATGAACGTTTGAAGTACCAAAATGTAGCAAATACCATGCAAATGAGAGGTTGAAATGCCAAAATGTGACAAATACCATGCAAAATGGAAGGCAAACATGGCCATGCAAAATGCAAAGTGACCATGCCAAAATGTAGCAAATACCATGCAAAATGACAGGTTCCAGTTCCAAACTGTTGCAAATACAAGGCAAACGGTACCAGGAAAGAAAGCAAAACAAAATTCCAAAACCTGAGGCAAAAAAAAAACAAACACTATTCTACACCCTCTTTATTGTTATATAATGGATATTAGCAGTATTGTTATTGTTATTGTTAATGTCAATGTTATTGTTACTATTGTTGTTATTTTTTCAAAAGCACCTCAAATTACTGATGACTTGGGGAGACATCAGCTGGCGAAGACCTGAATCGTCATTTGACCACATGATCATAGCACATCATGGGTAGTGCCGGTAAGTAATGAAGCCAGCTTTGGATCAAGGTGGTGGCGGAGGTGGTGGAGCGGACTTCTCGCCCGAAGACCTTTTTGAGGTGCAACCTTTCACCTGCAATGACCAGAAAAAAACCACCGTTTGCCCGTCACTCCACAGGCATTCTTTGGTGGCGGATTGCATCCGGGCATGGCCGGTGGCCAGACCTTCATGAGGCCCCAGATTGGCTCAGCCCAAGTATCAGGTGTTCAATGGCACGACCTTGTAGATGTTGGACCTGTGAACCAGACAGGACTGGCCCTGGCACCTTCGTTTTCACTTCTGGAGGTAGCACTGCAGAGTACAGTAGCACTGCTGTGTGAGCTGTGACCTGCAAAACTCTCAACGTGCTCTGGTGAGGCCCCGGCAATTTTCATTTCGCCTCACGACCAGGCCAGAGAGCAGAGGGACCCCAAATCGAGCTAGAGTGTAGCAGACTGCTGCATGTGGAAGCACAAGCCAGGCATGCGAAGACGGCATGCTGGAGAAAGGCAAGAGGAGGAGAGCGCACCCTGGCTTTGCCCAACAATTGTGGGAAACCCAATAAAATCCAATGGTTGGAAAGTCATTTTCTCAAATTGGCCATACATTGGGGGGTATACCTCCATGTCTGGATGCTAGGATTCCTGGAATGTAGGTCGGAGTTGCTCGGGCTTGGCAGGAGCAAGAGGCCGAACAGAGTTTGCCTCCCTGGGCAGCACCGCTGCAAGCGATAGCTGCGAGCTTAGTGCTGAATCTACGGAATCTGTTGTGCTTTAGAAGCAAAGGTCGCACCTGTAGTCATGCAGTCACGGATGTCCAACAGAAGTCTACCTGAAATCTGTTGACACTGTGAAACAGTCGGTGTTGAGGCAGCTAGCTTGGGGCCTCTTCTTCCCATCGTCATTATCGGGGCCATCAACTTAGCTGCTGAAATTTCTGGTACACACCGACAGCCAAACCATTCTGGAGATATGATACTTTTGTATACTTTTGTACCGTAAAAGTGGGTGAGATCCAAGCTGCATTTTTATGTGTATACACTGTGTAGCACACCAAGCTGGCCAGGTATTCTTTGTCATCATGTCAGTCATGTCCTTGCTGATGTGCCTTGGCTCGGCCAGATGGTCAACGTGCTGTTGGCAAATTCTGTGGTGCCACAGAAAAACCTTGGCAGATCCTCAAATTTATGAGGCAGATCCTGGTGCAAAGGATGATCTACATCCTCCCGAACCTCGGCAGAGAGCGGTTAAGGTGTGGTATCTATGTGGCACAGACTGATGGCACTGAGGGTCGTGTACCTCACTGATGGCCGGACGCGGATGTGGGCCCGGCTAGAGTTCTGCTGTGGGCCGGTTGTTCAGTGTATGGTCCGACATGTCCTGACTTCGACATGGTATGTTCAGTGTTAAGATGATTGAGAGATAATGAGAGGGAGGGTCTGAATTTGTGGACTTATCCATCCAAACTGGATCGCAACGTGGCAGAGGAAGCCTGTTGGGACATCCACTTTTTGGATCTGCCAGATTCATGATCCTCACCATCGTGCTCGCCTCCATGCTGGGCATCCTTTAGGTGTTGGCACTGCTGAATGTCACCCCAGTTAAAGCTGGGAATGGCCCCAATCAGTTGCAGCAAGGCGAAGAATGAATTTTACGAAACATGCATATGACATCATATGACCATATTATGCGTATAGCCTACTGGTAAATAAACATTAAGAATCTCCAGAGCCCAACTTTTGCTGACTGCTGACTGCCTTTTGTGGAAAATTTCCTTTTAATGAACCTTGTATGGACATGGCCTTTACCACACACCGCCTTGCTCATCCAGTAGCTGGCACCAACCGCAGAAACTGTGGTTCTATTCGCCGGTGCCTTGACAAAGACGCGAAGCTCATGCCTAGCTGAGCTCCTCATTCGAACAGCTAGCTTTGGGAAAATCTGCGAACAGTGACCAGTTCATCCTGGTCGATTGCTCATTATAGGCTTAGGTGCTGCAGGGCGCTATGCTGCCTACCAGCCCATGATGGGGAAAGGATTTTGGAGTCTGCTCCACAGATGCATTTTTGGGGCATACCAAAAACTAAGCAACGTGGATTTGATGAATTGGCTCATGTAGGACATCATGTAGGATTGACCTTGAAGAGTCGCAGCCCTTGGTTCAAGGATCAAGTGCCAGGATGAACTATGGATGAAATATGGGTGAGAAAGAGGAAGACCTGCTGGAGAAGTCACTTGGAGAAAATTGGTGCAGTTTTTTCAGCTGATCCGAGCTGCTCTCGCAGTGCTCGACCCAGGCTCACAGCGTATGGTGGATCCAGTTTTGAGCCCATCCTCCAAGCCTTTCATCAGGAAGATTTCATTGCGCTGGTGCAGCAGTTGCTTGGCAAATGTATGCAGTTGCAGCGGTTGCAGCATGTAGACGGCTTTCCAGGGTCAGCCAATAAGTTACCCCCGAAAATTTGCCGGAGTTTGAATGTGTTGATACTCACCAAAGCCAAAACCCGTGGGTTTGTGCCACAATGTGTCCCCATGTCGACGGTAAAGAGTATCGTGTGTCCTACTTTGCTTGTGCGGAGGTTTGTGACAGAGCATGCTCCGTTCTTTACAGAGACTTGTACAGATGGTTCCCACCCGCTGGTGTGGACACAGTACCATGATGCTTACAAAGACATCTTCGAAAATCGCCTGTCCCGGATTTTGCAGCAACTTGACGTCGAGCAACACGACTTTGCATCGTTTTGCGACTGGTTGAAAGTGAATGCCGACATCTTCGAGGATGACACAGAGGGTTTATATCCCTTCCTATCTTCAATTACAGCTTCTTTGGAGCCTTGTCTTCAGATCTGGTCTGAACGAATTGAGTTTAATCTGGGAAGTGTTTGAATGTCGACTTTGTCCTACTTTGACCTACTTTGACCCTATTTTGAGGCTATGAATAGACGTGACAGTCATCCTTGTTTGTTTCGCTCTGCAATGCCAGGACTACGAAGCCTTCCTAGCCGTGATGTTTGCAGAGGCTCGGCGCACCATGGACGTCCAGCAGATTGATGTCCTCGTTCCCGAAGGTGCCGAATCGGGGCAGGCCGTACTGGTTGAATTTCTGGGGGCTCAGTACGAGGTGATGATCCCGGAAGGTTATGGAGCTGGCATGGTGTTTCAGACAACGGTCACATTGCCCTAAGCTTTTCCATTGACACTGTCGTAAACAGTTGACATGCCGCGAATCTTCGTTAAGGATGTTAAGGGACCAGCAAAGACTTTGGAAGTTCGCTTCTTGGCGCTACATCCTGGTCCAGTGAATGCAAGACTGGCAAGACTCCTAAACTTAGGGACAGCATGGACAGCGGGTGACAGCGATGGACTTGGTGAAGCCAAGACCGATGGCGCCCATTCTTTGGCCGGTCTGGATTTTGCCAGAGATGTTGCAGTGATGCGGACCTAGTGACGCATTTGCAGATCCTTGGCCGCGGCCAAAAGGGTGGCGTTGTGAACATTCGCGAACTCTGGACCTCAGTCGCACTTGCAGCTGGCACCTGAGACATGAAGTTGCCCTGCGAGCATGGACTTCAGGCCGATTCGCAACCAACTGTGCTGCACTTTGCGAAGAGTACAATGCGCACTGGATGACGTTGAATGCTGTGGCAAGGTGTGTTCGTTGATTCGGATCTTTACAGAAACTTTACAGCAAAGTTCAGCATCCAAAGCCTGGGGGCCCCATGTTGGTTTGAGCCATTGCGCTGGAGCCTCGGGAAATGCCAAAGAACCTCAAACTTAAACCAATGCTTCCCTTACAACTGAAGTGATTTGCCAGAGACACGTTGCATGTTGCCTTTGAGACACTAAAATGTGCTCTATCTGCCACAAAAAGTGAATACATGGCCACCAAACGTGCAATGACAAAATCGAGACCTGGTATCCAGGAGGATCCATGAGGATCCAGGGTGCTGTTGTGGCGATGAGTTTGCCTAATACTGAGCTGTAGCAGATAAATTGGATCCTGGTTTGCCAGGTGGCATCGTGTTCTACAGATCCTTTCTTGAGACATTTCGCTTCAAAGGTCAGAGGATTCTTGAGACATTTCGCTTCAAAGGTCAGAGGATTGCTGAACGGAAATTCTTGCTGCTGCAGATTCAAGGGTACATGAACATTACACGGTGTTGAAACCACATCCGGCCCACTTTCCTGAAACCTTTTGTTGTATCCCACACCATTTCTATTCTTCTTTTTGACAATTGCTTGAAATTGACTCACAGGTCAGATTCCTTGCAATTCCAAAGGCCTGCTTTTCCTTTTTTTGCAGATTCGGATGCAGGGTATGTAAGGGATCCAAGGTCTTCACATGATTGATACACTGACGTGCATATAACATCATATAACTCTTCAACCGAGTGATCTGATTTTGCTCGCCATGGGATGCCCTGTCGCCTCAAGCTCTCACTTGTTGCCCTTGGGGCTCTTGGAAGCCTAGGAAGCCTTGGAAGCCTTGGAAGCCTTGGACTCTTCAATTCTTTGGAATCAATGTGCCGGATGTGCCGCTGTTTCGCACAGAACCTACCTTCAAATCGCCAGGGACACTCGAGACACTCGAGACACTCGAGACACTCCTCAACCGCTTTGCTCAAGCACGTCAGCAAGATGCTGACATCCTCGTGTGAGGTGCGAAATTCTGCGGTTCCAGTGATCGTTTCAGTTAGCGGCGGCCAAGACTCGGTTGCCCTCCTCCGTTTAGTTCATCAAGTTGCTCGGAGGTATCCTTGGAAACTTCATGTGCTTCACTTTAATCATGGCTTGAGACCCGAAGCATTTGATGAAGAAATTTTTGTGAAGGATTTGGCCAAGACCTTAGAAGTGCCCTTCTTCGTACAGCGTCATCCTGACCCAGCAGCTTTGAAGGGATCGAAAGCCGGCCTCCAAGCAGCAGCTCGAGAGTGGCGCCAAGCAGAGTCTAAAAAGCTTCTGTCAGATTTGGAAACCACTGAGAAAGGTGTGATTTTGCTTGCGCACCATGCAGACGACCAGGTGCCATTCCCGTTTCCCCTTTTTTTCAAGAACCATGTTCCCTGTGAACCCCACGTTCGCCATCGTTCGCCCACCCCAAATAACACACCCAGTGACCAGAGGATGAATGAAAACACTGACTACACGCAGCAATTTTGACTTTAGGTTTTCAGGATTTAGGGTTGTTAATTCAGGGTTTAGGGTTTTATAGGGTTTTAGGTTTTGGAAAGTAAAAACGCTAGCCCTACGCAGGGATTCAAGCATGTCAAAGAATATGCGGGTTTCGTGGCGGGCAAAAGTGGGGGTTGCAGCGAACATGATTTAGGCATTGAGCTCATGGGTTGCCTTTTACAACTGTAACAACGACACATTGATTTGTGCAGTAATGTATTGCAGGTTGAAACCCAGCTTCTGAAGTTACTGCGGGGGGCACATTTGGCGCAGCTTGGTGGCATGCGTGCCCGAGATGGACCCTTTGCAAGGCCATTGCTTGAAATTCGCAAGGAAGAACTTCGAGTTTTCCTACAGTCAGAGGGACAGTCCTGGATGGAGGATGCTTCCAATGCTTTCCCAGTGTACCAGAGAAATCGTGTTCGCCTGCAGCTGGTTCCGATGTTGGTGGACCTTTTGGGTGGCGAGGAGGCTTTGCAGAATCGGTTCTCTGCTTTGGGCCATCAAAGTCGACAGTTGGCTTCGTTGCTGGAAGAGTTGTGTCAGCAGCACCATGGTCCAAGATTCCCATGTCCCGAGGCTCCAACACGGCTGGATATCTCTTCATTTTCTCAGTTACCCGAGATGGTCCGCTACGAATTCATTTGGCGCTTTGTAGCAAACCGCTGCGGTGCAATGCTGAGCCATGCTGCTGTGGGCGGGATTGTGGATGCGATTAAGCAAGGCGATGCACGGTTCACCTGGCTGTTGGGATCTGGTTGGGAGTTGAAACGGCAAGGCTCGCAGCTGGTCATTTTGAAGTCAGGAGTGGACGGAGTGGAGGGTGAGGACAAGACTTGGTCCAGTTCTGATCTCTCTGTGGTTCAGAATGTCTCACAGCTTCACATTTCGATGGAGCTCCAGCGTAGGCAGCAAACAGCTGGTTGTCCAAAGGTGGCAATGGCAAAGTGCAGTGAAATCGTTCTTCATGGAGTAGCATTTGGAAGCACTGTGACACTGCGTGGCGCGCTTCCTGGTGATCGCTTTCGAAAAGCGCAGCTGGCGCACAACATCAAAGTCACTTCCGTGCTTCGGGAGCTTGGGGTCCCACCCAGTGCACGGCCCAACTGGCCGGTCATCACCATCAAAGCTCCAGGTGACGGTGAGGTCGTTGCAGCGCTGCTGCCGGATCTTGTCGCAGCCAATTTTCAGCCGAATGGTGCGTCCGAGGCCCAAAGATCGGCCCAAGCACCCGCTGTGATTAACCTGTCTTGGGATGAAGCCTGGGAAGGATTAAAAGATGTGGCAAGCTGGGACTCAAACTTGAAACATTTGAAACGTCAAGTGCGATTGGACTCTGAGTCTGTGCAGCCTGTGATGTGCTTGGAGACGGTCAACCGTTGTCTGGGTAGACATTTTGCTTATCAGCTAGGTTAGCTAAGTTAGCTAGAGGCTAATGACGTAGAGGCCCAGTTTATGCCAAGTTTGCTTCATGCATGGGGCAGCAGTGTTCATCTCAGCTCTCAACTCTCCGGCAAATGTGAGAACTATGGAGCTTTGTTGCAAAACTTCATTAATATCACCCCCACACTAAGAAACACATAGAAACACTGGTTGACTAGATTATTTGTTTGGGGGGGAGGTTGAAAATAGTCAGATTTGTTATGATTTGTTGTTATTGGTATTCTGCATCCAGGGTTGACCAAAAATACTTCGTTAAGGCCAAGCCGGACTGCAGATGATGAAGTCCCCATCGCTACTGGCGGAGGTTGATGGGTTTGCCGAGTGCCCAACATCTTGTTCTAGCTATCACTGGCTATCACCTGGAAAATCTTACATTGTAGACCTGTACTGATTTGTTCAGCCTGAACCGTTCAGCTGGTCTTATTTTGCCAAGTTGAGGTTTTGAGCCATAGCCACGTTGTTTTCGATTACCCTTGGCAGGCGCCTCCAGTTCCTTCTATGGCATCTACAATTTTTTGTTGGGCTGCGCAGCCCCCTGTTCTGATGCCTCTACTGAAAGCACCGGCTCGTGCGGGACCAAGCTGTTTCTTCGGGGTTCACTGTTTCACTGGGTATCCAGTCGGCAGATGGCATTCCCTGCTCATTGATAATCCTGAATCCTAAGGCTTGCCAAAGTGGTCCAGCACTGCTGTATCTCCTCAGAAAGGGAGGTGCAGCAGCTGTGAGTGTGACAGGCTCTGGACATGTTGTCGAGATTGATTCATGACTTCCTGTGGCCAGGGTGTTCTGGAGTTGGTGGAGCAACATCGCGTGATCGGGCCGAGAAGCTCAAGCCGATGATCATTGCAATTCCCAGAGAATTTCATCTCTTTGCTGCATCTTGAGTTGCTACTTGGAGTTTTCACATGATAATTTCATGTCCATTGTTTCAAGGTGTTATCAAAAGCCATAACATTTCCATTAATTGGACATGAAACAATGGAATCAGTTGGAATGATAAATCACCATTAATCATGGTAATTTCGCCATAAATCACCATTTTTCGCCATAAATCACAATTTTTCGCCATAAATCACCATTTTTGCTGCTCAGTTGGAATCTCGCCTGTGCAGGGATGGCGTAAATCTCATCGAAGAAGAAGATCTGGACTCAGCAAACTGTCTTCCCTGAAACGGATCGGGAGTTTCATGATTAGTTATTTGCATGGTATATATGGGTATGGATCAATACCTATTAATACCATTTTTAGTGAGATGAACATCCATTTACCAGCTATTTTGATGTTCACCAGGGGTACAAGGTTTTGACACACTGCCATATATATATATATATTATACAGATATACACAGTATACACATATATAAATCCCCTCGAAAGAGAGGTAAGAATGCATGTAAAACGGATGGTCTAATGGGATAAAACTTGACATACAATGGATTGTTTCAATATTTGTCCTCAGAAACTAAATATCAACCTGTGGATGTGGTCAATAATGAAAAATACAATATCAGTAATAAAATATAAATCTAAGAATACCAACATATACCACCCATACCAATGGTGAATGAAAACCGTGGTTTGGCTTGGTGCCCTTGGTTGCCAACCAGGCCTGGGTTACTTGGACATCTCCACGGGCTTTGGATACGGGCGCAGGCCGTGTTCATATCATTCAGTTCATCCATATGTGCAGAAACATACTGTAATATATATATAAATACATATACATACACATACATATGTATACATATTGTACAGATATTATGTATATGTATGTATATATGTTCTTGGCGTTTTCATGGTGTTTTTGGATGGTGTGTTCCTGTGTGAACCCAATGATCTTTGTCCGCTGTGAGGCCAGCGCTCAAAGCTGTTGGTTCGACCCGAAAGAGATCGGAGGTTCCAGGAGCTGTACGCACTTGACAAGCAAGTGGGCGAAGGTTCCTTTGGCAATGTCTACAAGGCAGGAACGATTTTGCGAATTTTGGAAGTGAATTTCTGGTGATTCCATGATCATAGTGTCGTACTGCAACGGACCCTGTTTAGTGTTGAATGTGTTGAATGTGTTGATGAGTACTTGCACTTGAAGGCCCATGCAATAAACGCGTCGGATGCTGCATCCTCAAGTTGGGCGATTCTGCCTGTTTTTCATGTCACCAAAATCGTTGTACCTCAAAGCGCTCCACCGCACTCTGGCACAAAGGTTCCAGTTGCTGTCAAGGCCAGAAGATCAGACTCACAGACTCATACTGTAGCCTTCTGTTGATCTCATTTGTTTTTTGCACAACCATATTATTTGTGCGTGCATCTTGGGTCTTTTTGACAAGTCTGGTCACTTGACACCAGGGAGTCACAAGGAGAGATGGAGCGAGTTGATTTTTGCCCATTCTTCAGGTCTTTTCGCTGGCCTCGCCAATCGCCTCACCTCAGGTGTCGTTTGGATCTCCAGGTATAAGGGCAGATTTGGGTTTGACTGAGAATAGGGCACCCCCAGATCCTGTGATATTCCTGTAGTTTGTCGTCATTTTGCCGAATTTTGCCCATTAAACTGGCCATTTGGGCACCAATTCAAACAGCCATTTCTCTGCGAGGCCAAAGTGGAAAGCGAGGAAGCCAGGCGAAAGCTCGCGAGCTTTTTTGGTGAGTGCGTTGGGACCTCGGAAGTTGTGTTTCGTTTTTCTGGGGGGGCTTCGGTTACAAAAAACCTATATCCCACATGATCGTATGATATTTATCAATGCTTTTGGAGATGAACATTAGCTGAATTTACTTATTTTATCTATAATATATATATATATTACCCCTTCATAACTGTAGGTTGGTTGGGTAGGGGCTTTATGAGGTGTGAAAGTGTTGATACCTTTTGGGCCTTGATGCCAATTTTGGCTCAAGGACCCACTTTTTGGTTTTCCGCCTTCGTGGGTCCATGGCACTTCGGCCTATTGATTGGACTGCCTGGAAGGGTGCGGCGAAGCTGTGGCTCACCACCCATCCGGGGTTCAATCATAGGGAGGTCACGCGCGAGCAGCGGCTGGAGACCTTCGAGCTGCGCGCGGCCTTCGCGGTGGCGACTGCGGCTGCCCATCGCAAGGACAGAGGCCTGGGAGCCCTGCCTTGCGACAGGTGCGGCGTGTGGACGCACTGCTGGTGCGAAGCTTGCCAGCGGCCTGCGACGGCTATCTGCACTGTGTGCGATGCCGCGGAGGCGATCTGCCACGCCTGTGAGCGTGCCGGAAAGTCCTGGCGAAGTGCCCGAGCGGCGTACGAAGCGGCGACGCCGCAGGCGGAGGAGATCGTCGAAATCTCCGGGTTCCATGATGCAGAGGGAGTCTTCCAGACCATTGACCCCCCGCTCCGGATCCCCCTCCGGGAGGTCCTCTCGGCCGATGGCGAGCCGGACGCGGCCGCCATCACCCGCCGTGCCGCCGCGCACGGCCAAAGAGGTGACGGCCGGTATGGCGCCTGAGGTGGTGGACATCCTGCTGGATCTCCCCCTCCCCCTCCTTGCACGCCTGGGCGCTGAAGGAGTGGAGACGGCGGCAGATGTAGTAGGTTTGTACCCCAATGTGGACCTGTTCATGGATGCCCTGCATGCCGTGATGGGGACACGTGTGGATGCCGACCTTAGCATGGATGTGGCGTGCACTTATGCTCGGGTTCATGGGCTAGCCCGTAAGACAAAGAAGCACGCAGTTGAGCTCGTAGTCGCCGAGCGGCAGTCTGTGTACCCCTCGGGTGCTGCTGAGCGCGGTGGAAGCCGTGAAGCGGCCGCTAGCAGCCGCGGAATGAAGCCCCTGGTGGGCCTTGGGACAGGCTCGGCCGGATCCACTGTGGTGTCTGGGCCTGGTCCTGCACCGGCCAGCACCAAAGCGGACGTAGCCAAGCAGACTAAGTTGGACCTCCTTTTCCACCTGCTGGTCGACTACGTTTTGGACTTGCAGGAGCTGGGCATCGATACTGCCCTCCTGGCTGACCCGCTGGGTCGCACAAAGGTCCGTGAGACTGTGCTCCACGGGGCCCAGAGATTGTCGACCCAGAGGCTTGGCGCTTTGATCAGCAGCTTCAAGAGGTGGGTGAAGTTTTGTGAGGAGAGGCAGTGGGCGCCTAACGCCCCGAAGCCGTTCCAGTTGGCCACTTACCTGCACTGTGTCAGTCAGGGGGGGCCCACAGCGGCATCGTCGATGCATGCGGCTTTGAAGTGGTTTGCAGACCAGGCTGGTGCGGCACTGGATCTGTCGCACCCCATGGTGGCCCCTTACCGCTTCCACGCTGTGACCCACACAGCGCGGCAGGCCCCGGAGCTTCAACCCTGGGAGCTGATCAACTTGGTTTGCCTCTTCGGCCGTGCCAAGGGCAACCATAAGCTCCTGTTGGCCTGGGTGGTGATGGCGGCGATCTCTTGCGTTCGCTGGGAACACCTGCAGCGCTCGAGTTTCGTGGCTGGCCACACCAAGTGGATTGAATTCCACTGCCAGCAAGGCAAAGCTCGGAAGAAGGGAGCCAGGCCAGCGTATGAATGGGCTCTACCAGAATGGTGCTGGGAAGGCCATGGTGTTGGCCGCATCCTCGAGGATTTTTACCGGCATGAAGTGCTGGCCACGGCGGGTTTCCTGGTACCAGCATTGCAGCTGGCTGCGGACAACCTCTGGGAAGTCACAGAGACTACCCCGCTGGTCCTTGGAAAGCCGATGTCCAGGGGACGCTTCCTGGAAATCTTCCGGGGTGCCCTCATGCAGTGTGGTTTGGATACCCACTCAGCGAAAGGGGCGACCTTTAACCGGCTGAGGCGATTCCTGCCTACGCTGGGTAATGTGCTGGAGATTTCCGATGTGGATGCGCAAGCGGTGGGTAACTGGACTGAGGTCCCACAGGGAGGTGGCCTCACTGCACCGAGACCCAAGGCTGCCATGACGATGGGCCGCCACTACGGGGGCCACAAGGTGCTGCGCTCGGCGGTGGTCAAGGTGCGCCTCCTGGAGCGCTTCCTGGAGCTGTGGAAGTTGCAACGGCAGCATGTGTCCCTCAATGCCGAGGGCCTGCTGCCTGTTGACTCCTGGCGTTGGCCTGACTTGCAGGCGTTGCACCGGCAGACTCCTTGGTCAGCAGCAGATCCAGACTTGTCCGCTGCTATCACAGATGCGGCGGCCCCGGCGCCTGAGCAGCCAGGTGAGGAGCAGCCGGACGACCAGGCCGCTACCCTTGAGGAGCCGGCAGGTGAGCCAGAGGCGGCATCAGGTGCCTCAGGCGATGACAGCAGTTCGGCCTCTGACATCTCCGCCGATGCGGATGACCTGGTGGGCATTTTGCCGGACCCTACAGCAGCAGCTGAAATCAAGTGGTTTCGCCAGGGCACCAAGACGCACCTGGTGAGCGACACATCAGAGAGTGACCGGCTGATCCCGTATTGCCGAGACAAGCCGTTTGACCAGGATCCTGCCCGACGGGGCGAGGGCTTCGTGCGTGGGGGGCTTGAGTGCATCTGCAAGCGATGTCTCAGCCGTATGCCACGGGGGCTCTACCTGAGTTTGGCGGAGCACTGCGGCTGGTCCTCCTGAGTCCTGAGTAGCTGTGGGCCCGTACTATAACTAATTTGTGTGTGCCAAAAAGGGCGCGAGCTGCAGGCAGTTTCACTCTGCTTTTCATGTCAGTGTGGTTTGTTTTGTCACGCCTAATAGGCCCTCAGGCTGTAATAGGTGGACAGGCAACCCCCTGTCGGTCTCGAGAAGGCGCAGCCGTCTGTTGTGCCTGTGCGAACTCTATGCTTTGGAGTTTTGGACCCAAGCTAGTAGTGTGCCAGCCCACCAGCGCGCGCCATGAGCCGAGTCGATGTGCTGGCGGATGACCGCGGCCTCCAGGGATGCTTCAAGGTGGCTAACATCCAGCAAGAATGGGCGCAGGACTTTATCACCAAGCACAAGTTGGTCACCCTGGACGACTATATCTACTCGGTTGCCCATGATACATGGGAAAAGGGTGTGGAAACCTTGGTGTCCCAGGTTCCCACCCTCCGGGACAACATGATCGCGCTGGCAAGGTTTCGCAGCGCTTTTGACATTGGCCGAGAGGCCTTGCGCCAGGCTGCAGCGCCAGCAACGAAGAGTGTCGATTTGGACGAGCCTCTGCCAGAGGCGACCATGAAGTCTCTCAACCAGGATTGGGCTCGCCGGTACAATTTGCAGCTGGATCCGTCTTTGGAGCCCTGTGAGGCCCTCCGGTCCAGGCTGTACCGAGAGTTTCGGAAAGGCCAGCTCACGGTCATTGAGGCTCGCAAAGTCAAGAGCGTTATTACAGTGGCCCAGCCCAAGACACAAGGGTCGGTTACTTTGGGAGACAACCTCCACTTGGAATTTGAGAAGGAGGAGGGTATCCCGATCAAGAGCTGTGTGGAATATTACCTGCAGATGCGGGTGCTTGCTCATGCTTTGGCATGGGCGGGCAACTACCAGGTGGATTATGAAGGCGGGCGCCACTGGATGATGGACCTTTCCACCGTGCTGGGCTATGTGGATGTCGCCTTGCGTAATTGTATCGAATTCGCAGGTGGATCCATGTTGTGGCTGCAACGAAACGACGTGTTGACGCGGGGCAAGCTGGCGACCTACGTCAACAGAGGCATGCCAGGTTCTGTGGCCATGAAACAGGCCTTGCACGAGACGCACTTGGAGTGGCGGTCTCCCTTGGCTGCCCCGCTGGTGGTGTCCTCTGGGTCTGGGTCCCCAGGGACCACCAAGCGGAAGCAAGAAAGCAGCCCTCTGCCTGCATGTGGGCGAGGCACCGACCAAGCGGCCGCGCACCTTGAAGGCAGATCGGTGGGCCACAGTGAGCATGATCAAGGGCGGCAAGCGATTGTGCAAGCCGTACAACGACGGCAGGGGGTGCAGCAACTCGCAATGTGATCAGATGCATGCCTGCGATGTGAAACTGCCCAACGGAAAGCTTTGCTTGAGTCGGGCCCACACCAGGGTCCAGCATGAGGAATGACTCCTTTCCCCCGGGAGGTGTGCTACCCCCGGGGACCCATGTCTGGAGATAGCTGCTGCGCTGCCTGCCATGCCTGTTGGACGGGTGGTCTCACTCAGGGATCCCCTGGTGGACCCCCTCCAGCGACCAGTTGACGGAGCGAGTGCTGACCGCCTCCGGGCGGCAAAGCCAGTGGCATGGCGAGGTTTGGGGGATCTGCCCCAGTTCACGTGGGCCAAGCCGCTTGTGGGCTCATGGCTGGTGATCGACCTTTGGGCTGGCTTCAGTGGGCTGTGTGTGGCCCTCCTTGCGATGGGGGTGCGTTTTCACGCAGTGGCTGCGGAAAACGACACCTTCCCTGCCCAGGTGGCGGAGCAGATCATGCCGCAGGTGGTAGCTGTTGACGCGGTGGAAACTGTGACAGGGGCCATGTTCCGTCCGTTTCTGCAACGTCGGCAAGTCAGAGGCATTATTTTAGGCGGAGGTTCCCCCTGCCAGGGCAACTCTATTTTGAACACTGGCCGAAAAGGGTTGGCTGATACCCGAAGTCAACAACCTCAAGAGTTGGTACGCATCCGCCAGGAGCTGCAAGACCTCCCAGAATGTGCGACCCTGGAGATCGTCACGTTTTTGGAAAACGTGGCCTCTATGCCCCGCGAAGTCATGGACCAGTATACAGCATGGATGGGCTTCCCACCTATCCTCATTGATGCGGGCGCTTGCGGATGGGTGCAACGGCGCCGGCTGCTGTGGTTAGGCCAGGGTCGCTGCGGGGTGTCACCTCGTTGCACCCCCCCCGACGGCTGGGTATGGGTCGAGTCTGGGACCGATCCCCCCGAGCTGCGCTGGAAGGGACCCAAGCCAATCCCGGCCAAGGTTCATTTTGATCAGAGTTTTGGCCCCCTTTTTGATGCTGCGGAAGTAGTTAAGGCTGCGGGACAAGGTGCTATGCATCCGTTCACCAGGGAGTTTTGGCACCCCTGTGATCGGGTCATTCCGCCAGAGGCGGCTGCTAGATTCTATCAAGATGAGAGGCGGTTCCCCCCGTCGGCCTACACAGCAGAGAGTTTGCTTTGGCGCAGGGATGAGTGGCGTCAGCCGGGGCCTGAGGAGCGCGCCCAGATGATGGGGTTTCCTGCGCAGTGCCTTCAGGCCGTTCAGGGACCAGCGGCGGTGCGTCGCCAACGCCAAAACAGTATGCTTGGCAACGGTTTCCACCTACCGATGATTGTGGCACTTTTCTGCTTGTTGCCAGGTGTGTTGAGTATGAAGGTACCGCGACCGTTGTTTGACCTCGCGGAGCGCAAATTGCAGGAGCGTTTGGCGGGTACGGTATGGGAACCAGGCCGCTTGCAGGTGTTCCCTGGTTTGCTTTCTAGCGACCAGGTGGTGCAATCCATGCAGCGGACAGTATTCGGATCCTTGCCAATCTCTGCAACTGTGTGGCAGTTGACCGCCACCCGGTTGGCTCCCTTGCCAGTGTGGCACCTGCAAGCCTATACTGCGTGGGCAGTCGGCCGAGGCGCATCATGTGATCAATTAGGGCCCACCCCGCTGACAACTAGCCATCGGACAGCTCTGTTTGCAGGATTGACCGGGCAGCGCTACCCGGGCAATTCCCGGAAGGGCCTGGACCATTTGCTGCCGCCAGGCGTAGGCAAGGAGGAGCATATCAAACAGGCTGTGGGCCTGCCATCGCCCTTTCGCCTTCGCGAGTGGCCTGAGCAAGATGTGGATTTCGTTCTCCACGCCATTGCAACATGGCAGCAGGCACTGATCGGGTACTCTGAGCAATGCCGCCAGGTATTTCGACAGGTCTGCGCAGCGCTGCTACCATTGGATGATGAGTTGCGCAAATTCAGGGTGCACAGTGCAGTGAAAGTTGCCGCTGGGAAAAGGCCTGCCGTTTTGGCGTTTTTGACTGTGATCCTGCGATGGCCCGACTTGCAGCAACCTTTGCAGATGTTGCAGGGCTATCCTATTGTCGGGGCACTGGAGCCTAGTGGAGTCTTCCGATCCATTACTGCTCGTGAAGCCTTGCCAAAAGAGGAGTGGTTGGGGGATGCAGCTGTGGCAGCTGTGGAGAGGATTGAGAGCTCTCGCCCTCCGCGGTTTGCCGAGCGCATCTATACTGCCACAGTTCTTGACTTGCTGCCGGTTAAGCAATTTTTTTTATTTATTTTAAAGGGGGTTGATGGTTGATGTGACAATAAATTAAACGTTTAAGAATGTTTAAATGACAGTCAGTGACTTAAATTTACCAAGTTAAGCTGATAATTTAAGCTTTTAAAAAGGTTTTAAATTAGTCAGTGACTTAAATTTACCAAGTTAATTGATAATTTATATAATAAATAATTTCAAAAAAATAATGGTCAGTGACTTAAATTTATCCCAATATCCCATTCTCATCCCATAATCGCATCCCAATATTTGTGTTTTTTTTTGGAATTTAGGACACCATGCCAGTTGATTTCAGTAACATATAAAATTAATCCAAACTGTAAACTGTTGTCAATGACCATGTGAACCAGGTGTCAATGACAAATGCACTAAATGATGCAAGCAAAATCAGTTGACCAATGCACGCAAGCAAGCCCCCAGCATGAAGCAAATCATTTTTTAACCGCAAATTTCCACAGATCGGTGTGTCACGGCGTCGCAGCATCGCAGCAAAATCAGCTGACCTGAGGATGAACAAAGGTGCTAAATGCGGCAAGATTGTCACTGGGGAAAAGTGCCAAGCTGAAAATTGTGGCATGCAATGACAATGATGCAACTTCTGACAATGCTGGGCAGGGCCAAGTACACTTTTCACTTCCCATAGCAGTCCATCTAAGACTGTGTCGTTTAACACCGATTGGTGCGGCACAGTTAGAAATACATTGCTGCTGCAGTCGGGCCCATCCGGCTTTTGCCAAAGGCCAAAAAAGCATCAGTGCAGCAACTGCTCTGATCCAAAGTCCAAAGTGCAAAATAAAGGTCAAATGAATTTCAGCTGAAGACATCTTCCATGTGCACGTCTTCGTCATTCAAACGTTCCTGGCTCTTCACATGGTTGTCATTCCACCAGGTCTCATCGTCCTGGTTCTTCCCATGGTTGTAATTCCACCAAGGCTTGTCGTCGTCCTGGTTCTTCACATGGTTGTCATTCCACCAGGTCTCGTCGTCCTGGTTCTTCATATGGTTGTCATTCCACCAGGTCTTGTCGTCCTGGTTCTTCCCATGGTTGTAATTCCAACAGGTCTTGTCGTCGTCCTGGTTCTTCCCATGGTTGTAATTCCACCAGGTCTTGTCGTCGTCCTGGTTCTTCACATGGTTGTAATTCCACCAAGGCGTGTCGTCCTCGTCCTGGTTCTTCACATGGTTGTAATTCCACCAAGGCGTGTCGTCCTCCTGGTTCTTCACATGGTTGTAATTCCACCAAGTAGTCTGAGGCTGACTCCGACTCTTCGTCGATGGCCTCACCGTGGAAGTCGGGGCAATCTTGGTCATGCGAGATCTGTGAGGGCTCTTCAGGTTGGTCTTGATGGTGATGTTGTAAGATCCAGGTCCAGGTTCCCCTTGAAACTTCCGTTTGCACATCGACTTGGCTTTCGCTCCCACAATCTTCTTCTTGTCTTCCGGAATGAGTGAAGTCCATTCCGGCTCCGACATCGCCTCCGTCACAATTGACTCCTCGCTATCCGATGATTCAACCAAATAGCACTGGGCATCTGCTTTCGCCTTAGCCATCGCCTTCGGTCTCGGTAACCTTGGCTGTGTGGCAATGTCTAATTGCAAGAGCCGTGAGATTGGAAATTGTGGGGCTGACACAAACTAATTTGACAGCAGAATGCTACTTGATACTATGATGATGGGCAATGTCCTTAATTGGCCAAAGGGCTGGAAAAGGTTCTGATGCTGGTTTTCACCCAACACTTGCTGGTGCCCCCAGTTGAAGAGCATCAAAGGTGGCTCTAGCGTCTGATCACCAGAGCCACAGCCGCAGCTGCCAATGGCACAGCTGCCCATGCCCATGCCGCCAGCGAAGGCAACCTGAGGGAAGCCCGTGCCAGCGAAGCCAGCTTGACAAGAATCCATGACATAAGTAGGGCATCCCAAAGGGCAGCCAGGAGAAAACTGCATGGCCACGGCTTGACAAGGATATCGTCAATTGAGGGGCGAGAGGTGACTACGAAATGTTGTGACCATGACACCCTGTTGGCAGTAAAGCTTAAGATTTAGTAGGCACTTGCTGTAATTAATAGATCTCACATGGACCTCATTTGCGGAAGACCTCATTCAGCTGGAAAGCCAAACGGCTGAAAGAGATTGGCAAAGTACACTCGCAATGCAGCACTGCACATCACAGGACACCATCACAACAAAAGAATAAGCTGCCATGTCATTGACTTCAGGTTGTTTTGCTTCGTCACTGACCCATGTGATATGGAAGATGTGCATGTGGCATGATAATGAAGAGGTGATTTCAAATTTCTTTGCTGGGAATTAATTGTCAATCTTGTCAATCAATCCAATAATAATTAAACGTGATACAGCTTTACAAGTTTTCGTCAACCAAGTCTTGGACTAGTTGCACCATTGAGGGCCAGGCCAATGATGAAGATGTGGCCCCAAAACGAGCCCGGAAAGGGCAGCAAGAGCCTTGGTGGTTGCCATGTGTCAGTGACATCATGCTATTCTCCAGCAGCAGGTTTGACATCTTATACTTATACACCATCATCATGTCAGTGACATCATGTTGTTTTTGTGTATGTCGGTGTTAGTAACATGTCAACATGCACACCTTGCAAAGCCAACTTGGGTCAAGACGATGACTGAGCTTTTCCACGCCTGCATTGGGGCAGTTGTGAAGACATGATCCGTGAATCAAACAGCAATACTTCCAAATACAAACTGGTCAAGCAAACAAAGTAAACAAAGTCAACAACAAACTGGCTACCCGGCTTATAAGCACCGGCTTGAAACCAAAGCGCCTCTCATCAAAACTTTGCTGTCAGACTCTTGGCACTGACAGTGACGAGTTCCTTTACAGGGAATCTTCTTCTTCTTCATCAAGCTCATCATCGCCAATGTCCTCGGCGTCGCTATCCTGCGTTCAGGGATGAAAAAAAAACTCCCTTTTCAATGTTATAGACTTGACTGAGAAGTTGGAAGAAACTCTGTCCTGGGGGCCGTCTTCTTCATTCAACGATCCTTCATTTTCGTCTCCATCTTCACCCTCAAGCTCATCGCTGCCACCAGAAACATTGGCTCTTTTCTTGCCGCGACCTTTGCCACGTCCCTTCGGCTTCTTGCTGGGCGGCTTCTTCCCGGACTTGCTTTTGCGTTTTTTCGGCTGGTTGGACCCTCGCCCTTGCCCTTTCTTTGACTTGGCTGTGGACTTGTCATCCTTGTCGTCATCTCCAGTGCAGTCCTTCAGCGCCTTTGCCATCTCTGGCATATAGTGACGGCTCTTGGGGCTGGACATGAGCTTGAACATGATCTTGTTGGCATTTTCCTGGAACCACTTCTCATGCTTGGAGGAGTAGCCTCAAAAGCCAGGCAACATTCAGAAGGTAAGTTTGAGGAACCTATAAAACAAAGGTCAAAGTCAGAAGTCTATTCAACGGTGTCAATGACAATGACAACTGAATGACAAATTATGTCATACATCAGTGCACGTCAAGTCAATGACTGTAACAAACAAACTGAGAAATTGATTTGATGATTCAGGCAAGATGCAGACAGCGAGGCATGGTGTCTGACTTTCAAGCAGGGGTGCCACCAAAGAAGGGCAACTTGCAGTCATCAAAACCACTGCCCGTGGACGAAAGCGGTGGATGATCTCCTCGAAGGTACGCTGGCCCCACACTGACCAGTCGATGGGTTCCATTCCAGGCTGGTCCAAGCCTAGAAAACAAATCAAAAAGCAAATCCAGGCTGGTCCAAATGAGAGGAGTGGCATGGCAATGGAAAACATTGACATGAACAATAATATAATAACCGTCAACAAGCAAACGGCCTCGACTGACAGACGTGGAGCGCGAATCATCTTTCACACGTGCAGAGGCCATCATCTCATGTTTTTCTGATGTTGGGAGCTTGGGCACCACCTTCAAATCCGACTTGAAACATTCTTGTAACGATGTTCCAGAAGTGCTCCCGGTGAAGTATAGGTTGGGTCTCATCCCCACCACTTCTGACATCCTTGAAGAATCACCGCGCACCACAACCATGGTCTCCATTTGGGGAAGTGTGAAGACCTTATTGTGTGCAAGGTGGCGGAGCAAACATTCAAATTCAAAATATCAGCAAAATAAACCTGGTCCCACGTGTGACTTGTTCCCACATTGTCATTGACAAGACACGCCCCTTTCAAGTGATCCACCAGAAAGTGAACGGGCCTGCAGGGGAAGTCAATGTTGTAAAGTAGTTCAGTCAATTAATTCAACTCATGGTTTTCATGACTGAGTCACTGAGTTGACGACTTAAGAGGACCAAGTACACTGAATGACATTGACTAATAAAAAACTGAGTTGACTGATGAGCAAATGTCCACTGCAGTCCTTCCGATGCTCTTTGACGGAATCCTCACTGTAGTTGATGTGGAACATGTGCTTGGAGTACGGCGACCCTTCACAAGAGCGGAACGCGTTGACGAACGCCGACTGAGTACCAGGGCGCCCAGAGTCACAAAAGACATACCTCAGTTGATAGTTGTTACAAACAGATGAACAGCACAAGTGGTTTCATTGCCAATGACACTGACAGTGACTGACATTGCTGAACGGTCATTTAATGAAGAACCTGTTGGCATTGACACTGGATTTAAATTGGTCACTGACATTTGAAAAATCCACAAAAATCATTGGTTAAAAGTCAAGACGAGAGTCATGTCGCTTGGGCGCAGCGCAGGGAAAATCACCTTCTCATCCTCCAAGTCAGGCATCTCGCTGCCTCTGGTGCAGAATGCTGCTCGCAGCAGCTTCTCCATATGCTCACGGCGAGCAGGAGTCGGACTCCTCCTCGAATCACGTTCATGTTCTCCCGCACTTTCCAGGGTGTACAAAAAGAGCACTGAAGAATCCGAAGATCCACGCACCTTGTTGAGGATCTCCATGGATCGCATGAGTTTTGCCAGCTTGTCAAGGCTGAGCGACCCGTCGACTGTCTGAATTTGACTTTTGACCTGCTTTCGGGCAGTGTCGGCGGCCCCTTCCACGACCTCCAGTTTCGGAGCGTTCTCTGGTGCTGACAGTTTGGTCAGGTTCTCTGGAGGCATCAGTGAGACCAGGATAGACTTGTTCATGTCAGTGTCATGGTCCTGGTCGACCTTTTGAAGTGCCGGGGCTTCAGGGGCGACGATCTGCTTCCATATTTTGTCGATTGCGGAATGCTCGAGCAATTCCTCAAGCGTCTGCTGGTGCCGGCAGGCCTGTTTGACTGCAAAGTCAAACTCAGGCTCGTAGAGGAAGCTGGATGCAAAGGCGGAAGCCTTCTGAGACCGTGGATCCATACCTGGCAGGTCCAGCCACTGCTGAAGACACACTTTTGACTTTGTTCAAGTTCGTCATTGACATTTCTAAACGGATGATTTGGTCATTGGTCGTCATTGACACACAAATCGAAGAAATGTCAAGTGGAAGTGACAACAAGTGAAGCCAAGCGGCATCCAATCCACGGCTGTCCATCAGATGCCTTGAAGCCGTTCTTGACCGCATCATGAGTGAAAGGTCTGCCCCCAAAGGTCTTTCGATACATCTCGTGCGACTCCAAGTTGGTCCTGCAGTGAGGCACGAGTGAATGTGTTTTTAACACCTTTGGCATGGGTGACACGAGTGAATGTCCTCAACAGTCGGGCATCTTCTGCCGGGAGATGCTGATCAAGAAGTGCCAGCAGCTTTCCCTTGTTCTGCAACTTCCAAAGCCAGACAGCGACCATCCTTAGATGTGGAAGACTTGGCAACTTTAATACTGAGCAACTTTAAAAAGCTTGTTGTTGAAATCAACTTCAACCCAGCGTGGACTCAGACTTGACTGTATTTCAGCCAAGATTCCCCTTGGAGCTTCCCTTGCCAAAGAGGTAGAAGGGTACCATTTCGGCTGGTTGGACCACCCGATTGAGGCACCAATCCGCCATCTGAACCATGACCCATGCCAATGAGTCATGGTTGCTCTTGCAGCTCCTCATCAAATTCTCGATCTTCAGCACAGAATCCAGCGGAGAACGCTTCCCGAACACCTCGTCAATCAGGAAGGCGATGGCCTCAAGGATCAGGAGGAAAACCCATTAAAAAACATATGCCAATGAATGCTGAATAACATCCCAATCAAAATTAGTGTCATGATCATGGCAACCTGTTGCAGTGCCAATTGCAGCGAAGTGGCTTTCAAACGGCTGACCGAAAACAAGGCATTCCACAGAGCCAAGGCAACAGTGATGAAGTGTTCCGTGCACGCTTCACCACTTGAGATCTCCAGGTTCGAGTCAAAGTGCTTCTGCAACATCTTCGCCGTGATGTTCTGGTCGGAGCGGTCCTGCAGGATCTTCTTGATGGCACCGACCTGGAAGATCCTTTGCACCTGAGAAAGGCTTTGTTAGAGTCAGTCAATGTCTTTAAGTTTCTTGCAAACCAAGTGACCTACAAAATAAATCAAATGACCTAAACAAATGACCTACTTCCAATCAAGACACCGGGGTGTAGTAGAGACATTCATAAGATTCTCCGATCCTTTCCCTCAGCTTGGCCGACGCCCAGAATGCTGATTCCAAGTCATCAGCCACAGTCATCCACGTGACGCATGCACTGAGCCAACAGTTCTTCCACTCCTGTGCAGGGATGATGGCAGTCACTGCCTGTCTACGCTGTGTACTTTTAAGAAAGTAAGTTTTGGAATGATTTCATGACGACAATGAACTGTTTAACAACAATGTGACTGTCACTGACTGTTGAGTTGAAACAACTTGACCCCAGCCTGAACGCGTTCACCGTTGCCTACATCTCTCCAAGTTGCGATGATGTAGGAGACATGTTCTTCTTCAGCGCTCAACCGTTTCAACATGCTCTTCGTCTTGTGCTGCTGGTTGTTTGGATCGCTCTGTGCGTTGACCATCACTGTGACTTCTAACGGTTTGGGTTCTCGGAATTTGGAATTCACCAGCAAGGTGATGGCAGACTGAATGACTGGCACGCTGCAAGGCGTCCACCAAGGCGACACCCAACTCAAGTTGGCTCCCGCAGTGTAGCATTTTCCAGCTGGCTGGTTGAGCTTGAGCAGTCTGAAGTCTGTTGGATGCATCACACCCCCTTGGCCTGGCGTCAGAGGAGCTTCTCCCTGGATGCCGCTGAATTCGTCACACCTTGGTGGAAGTGTGATGGCAGGCCAACAGAAAACTTCCGAAGCATGACAGACTCAGAGACTATTTACCTTTTCTTGAAAGATTATGACAAGGACGGCAGCCGGCCCTTTTTGGCCAAGTGACGCCATCAGCCCATCCCATGCGTGCTTCACTTGAGCAAGTAGGTCAACATTCAAGGACTTCGTCTGCAGATCGGTCTGGTCTCCTGCGCAAGTCGGGTAAAATTGGTAAGGAGTGACAGCACGATGGCAAAAACAAAAACACCTGGTTTCATTTTATGGTCAGTGACAGACAATCTTTGGCAAAGTTGTTAATAAGTTGATAAAGTTGATAAACCAATCGTGGTTGCAACTGACTGTGTCAATGACATTCTTTGACAATGACATGACATTCAGCAAACATCCGTTTCGACCTGCTCCAAAAGACTCCACTGTGCGGGCTTTCTTCTGTTTGGGCGACATGGGTGCAACAACGCGGGTCAATGACTGAACGCCAGCTGCTATTCGGAAAAACACAGGGCATCCCAGGATTTTGCAAGGTTTTCTGAGTCAGTGGATTGAAATTATCAATGAGGAACTTTGCCAATGTTGATTCCGTAGAAAAAACATGATGATCTAACTGTTTAACATGTCATTATCAATTATCATTGTCTCTCCTGGAAAAACCCAAACTCACAGCATGTAGGGTTGAGTTAACACTGTTGTCACTGTCAAAGTCATTGACAACATTGATTGACTGCACAAAGTAAGTGACACTGACTGAAGCTGACTGACACACGACATCTTATTTTCTTGCATCTCTAGCACAAAAGGCTATATGGTCACAACCACAACGCCATTCAGGGCAGCCACCACTTACTGTCAATGAGTCTCAGCATGACTGAACTGACAAAACTTTCAAAAAACATCGTCATTAGCCATGACAAGCAAGTGGCAGTCAATGGCGGCTGATCTAAGATGACAGCAGCCCCGCAGCAGTCATGACAGACCGAATTGCTTCCTGCAAGACAGGAACCGACATGCTGTTCCCCACTTGGTGGCCACGAGCTGTCAGTGGGGTGGCGCAATCTTTCCAAGGAATATCTCCACTCTGAAATCCCTGAAGTCGTCCGAGCTCAGCACAAGTCAGCCTTCGATGTGCCTGACAGGCAAAAGAAATCTGACATCAACATCGTCATTCATTGTCATTTTTTCAATGGCGGTTTATTACTAAAAAATCAATATGCCAATGAGGCAATCAAAGACACACAAGACGAGATTAGATTCTCACTGAGACAGGGACATTGGTCAACCAAAATGCACGCTGTGAGCATCGAGAGGCTGTCAACGTTCCAATCATCCCCGTGGTCACGACTCCAAATTTTTTGCCGGCGCCTATGTCAATGATCGATTCACTCTTCTTTGGGTCGATACCTGCCTTCCGCAAGATCTTGAAACCTCTCGTCAAGTTCCTTTTGGCAGTGGCACTTCCTTAGCAAGCAAGTCACTCACAGTGAGTCAGTCAGCTGTTCTAATTTTCTGCCCACTACCAAGACTGCACATTGCCAATGACTAATGCTGGAACTGCCAAGTGAATGCGTCCAAGAGGCCTGGAAAGGACTCCTTCTTTCGGCGGCTGAGAAACGCTGACAGTGGCCTCATCTGACCAATTTTACTTTTCATTACTGGTACTTTTCGATTCCTTGGCGAGCCAAGGATGTACAACCTCTTGCGACGCTGGGGCAGGCCATAGTTCTGTGTGTCCACCACCTAGCCACTTGTCAAGTCACAGGCCAGAAGATTGACATTCAAAATCATTCTGCAGATTTCAGTGAAAAAATCAAACCATTAAGTTCTTTAAGGGAACATCTAAGTTTTAAGATATATCCTGATTTAAACTGTCATTGACAAACGAGATACATGTGAGCGTGTATTTTAGGTCAATGTCGGCATGTCATGGAAAATAATTGAACAAGTTGAGGGGTGCACAGCACATACAAACTATTACAAACTGCAATCCACCCACCGCCTTCCACACGACGTGGTACACCTTCTTATTCTTTGGATCTCTGATGTTCAAGAGACGGTTGATCAACATCTTGAAATGTTTTCCTTGTTCTCAGCGGCTTTGCAAACATAAGGCACTGACTGACTGTTCTTAAGCCTTAAGAGTCTCATTGTCATAATGAGTCAATGGCAATGACAAGCATCGGTGCTTCTTCGAGGTGGCTAGTCGTGGTACGTTTTCCAGGACGAAGGTCTTTGGCTGCCTTTTTTCCATATAATCCAGGATATGGTCCAAGGTTGATGCCCTCTTGTCTGAACTTCCGCCATGACGTCCGGCTGCACCTCGGATGGTGCAATCTTAGTTTATCAAGTCACCTCTGGCGGCATTTCATGTCATCACCAGAAAAAATAATACAGACTAGATGCTAAAAGGTTGGCAGGGAAAACCTGCTGTATAGACATCAACGTAGGGTTTCCCCTTGCTGGCAGCATCTTGGAGAAGAAGTCTCGGAGGATGTCGTTGATCTTAGTAGACAAGTTGACAAGCGTATCCAAGGATGTCGTTGGAAGACTGCGTTTGTGGTTTTGGACCTTTCGTTTGTGTAATTCAAACGACCCACTTAGCACCAAGAATCATTCAAGAATATCACGGCAATGAGAGTCAGTGTCGGAGGCGAAAAGGTTCTCAAACTTCACGCCCAGTCTTTCAACAGCAACTGCATCTGTTCCCACACCACTGCAATCCGATCCTATGCTGATGGTCTTCATCGAGACACCTCACTCAGTCATTCAAATCTATGGACGGTGCCAATTCAATCCAAAGACTTTGATATCATGTCCTGAAACGATGTGTCAGTGACAAAATTCTAAAAATGACATGTTTATTATTCGTTTCATTTCATTTCATCATGGAATCATGTGCATGCAAACTTCTTGGCACTGACTGACTGCAAATGCACCTGAAGAACTTTTTAAACTCCATCGCCGCTTAGCTAAGAATGCTAAGATGTCAGAGTGGGTCGCACACCAGCTAAGAAGGCTAAGGTGTTAACACGAAGCGACCAAAAATTCCAGGGCCCTGTCAGTGACAAGTCATTGACGCTGACTGACACACACCGAGACAAGTCAGGCATCAGAGTTCAGCAAGAAAGCCTCGAATTCCTCCAGCTCACCAAGACGTCCTCTGCAAGCTCGACATCCCTTCCACCGGCACTTGCTGCACCCAGGCATATCAGGCGTCCAACCTGGTGGGGCCTTGGAAGCCGGCCTCTTCATGGGCTTGGAGGAATCCGCATTGCTCTTCTCAGGTTTGGCCTTTGCATTGGCCACTGCCTTTGTCTTTGTTTTGACCCTTGTGTTCTTGGCCTTGTGCTTAGGCTTAGGCTTCGACTTTGTCTTGTCACTCTCCACCGCAACTTCTTCATTCGAAGATGGACCCATGGGCTTCTCCTTCACCTTGTCCTTGTCGTCCTCTTTGAACGATCGAGCGCTGGGTCTTTTCAAGACCTTTGCCACAGCTTTCGGCCTGGCACTCGGCCTTTTGATGGGAGTCTCTCCCAGGCTCTCCTCGTCGGCCTCGTCGACATCAGACTCCTTCAGGTCCTCTTCGACATCTGAAACATCATTGCGATGCAAGTTCAGTTCTTCTTCTGTGAGGGCTCCAGGAGGTAAGAATCCGGGAGCACGACACCAAAAGTCACCGGGATGGCATCCAGACGACATGACACTGAAGACAAAAAGGTCAGGTAACGCTGGCGGTCTTACACTTACCAAGTTTGATCTGTCAAAGGGCCAGTCACTCACAAATGAACTGGTGCGATGTCAAACATATGTCAATGACAATTCTGGTGTGCAACATGTGTCAATGACTGACTGATGAGTTGATGTTTGAATTTGACAAACACTGAATTTCACACAGTCTGAGAGGGTGACTGAAAAGAATCAAGAGGCAAGAGTCGGTGACTGGTACCTGAGCATTGCTGACAGCACAATTGCCGTTGATGTCAGTCACATTTCTTAAAGACTGACTACCGTTGTCAAACTTAAGTCTCACATGTGCCAAAAAGCATGCTGATATTTATCATCAAAAAAATATGTGATATGACTCGCAGGTGGCAGGGGCTAAACAACCCATCTTCCCTGCAAGTCGGCGGCTCCACTGACTCGCAGGAGCATGTGTTTGGTATGGTGTTTGGACTTGCAGGTGCAGGGGGTTGCCAACCCCCTCCACCTGCAAGTTAAAATTGATACCAATACCTTTCCCCTGCAAGTCGTTGTTGCCACTGAGTCGCAGGAAGCTAGGGTCTCCGTACCCCCTCCACCTGCAAGTGGAACAGATTTTTCTCTGGTGACTAAGGAATGTGTTTGTACCGTTTGCAGTCATGATACCGTTGAAACAAGTCAGACATTGGAATACCGTTGAAAGTGCTCTGCAAGTCGTCGGAATGCCCGGACTCGCAGAGGAACGCTCTGCAAGTCGTCGGAATGCCCGGACTCGCAGAGGAACGCTCTGCAAGTCGTCGGAATGCCCGGACTCGCAGAGGAACGCTCTGCAAGTCGTCGGAATGCCCGGACTCGCAGAGCAATGCCCTGCAAGTCACTGCAAAAATTGAGTGCCAAGCTGGATGGGAAGCTCTCAAATAGCGAAATGAAGGGACCTGGCCAACAAAAATCCACAGTCAGACAATGTTGAAATTAAAATTATTTGATTGACATCGATGATGGAGGTCATTGTCATGAAAGTCTGTCAGTCTGTCCAATAAAGGCAATTTGGCATTTTCTTTTTCCCTCCATTGGACATCAGAAAGCCGCTGGTCATTCAGCAAAGACCCCAAACTCAAGATGAAGCCCTGCACCAAGCCTTTACTCGGCTCAGAACCTTCCATCTTAAAAACCCCCTAGAATCAAATTTCTTGGCTTTTCCAAAAGCATTCGATTTCAACTTGCTGGTTGGCACTAAGGCAACGAAGTTGGTGGTCTTTGTCTTTGACATCTTCCGCCTCCATTCATCTTCGTTCTCCTTTCAATGGGGGTGATTTGACAGTTTTAACATGATGTAATTTGAAAGTAGACTGTGACTGTGTGGGATTGACAACAACTCTGTCAGGCAAGTATCGAAAACCTTCCAGCCACCTTCCAAAGAAGACCTCAAGATCTCCGAAAGCCCCGGGTGAAGGTCTGTGAACTCCGGGGTCACCAGCAAATTCCGTTGGGTTTTGATCTCACCTGCAGCTTCGTACCTCAGAGTGATGGCGCAGGGACAAGTGATGGAACCTGGAAATTCTTGGAAGATCCAGTTCAAGTCAATAAACTGATCTAGTTACAGTGTGAAACCGATCAGTTCAATTCAAGTCAAGCTGACCCAAATCCAAATTGCAAGCCGGGACACTGAATCCAAGGTCCGTTCTGCAAATCTTTGGTCACAACCAAATGGCCACCAAGTCTAGATGCCCAACTGACTCTTTGGCCTGGGTTGTTAAAGCTGTCAACCACATGGACCGAAGCTTCCTGCCAGGTGCTCACAATCGAAGCACCAAGGCGAACAACCTCCTCCCGGGAAGTTTTGGAGTTGGTCCAAAGGTATGTTGGCCTACAGCCACCGAGTGGTGCAATGAAGGAACACCCTGGAATTAAGGTATGCTAACCTCACCAAACTTGCACAAAACAATCAACATTGAGAAGGACAGGAAAGGTTCATTGAATGAAACCAGCCTGGACTTCAAGGATGGAAACTTGCGAGCTGCAAATTCTCGTTCCAGAAAGTTGGCTTTTCGATCCTGGACTTGGTATTGCTGTCAAATGCTGTCAATGACGAAACTATGTCAGTGTCAATGTCATCAGTTTAGTCATTCAATTCATCATCACATTGTTCAACCAACTCACCCACTCACATTGCCAGCAAGTCTCTGCAAGCATGTCATTGTGTTGCTGCTTCCTGAAAACACATTGGCAATCTGTTCGTGGGAGAGGTGGTTTTCCACAATGCAATCAACAGGCCTCAACAGATCCTCGTATTCATTCTTCGGCAACTTTTCATGCTTCTGCAGGATTCCCATAGTTTGTGCATGAAATCGGCGTTTCTTCACCTCAAGGATTGGTAGGGACCAAGGATTAGGGACTTATTTAATTTAATTTCAATAATTTATTATAGTTAATTTGATTCTCAATCCATTTGTGTGACAACTTCACTAAAGCTGCAGTTGAGATTCTATCTTTGCAATCTTCCCAATGGCCTTCTTGATTTCGGGAGAAAACTTCTTAGTCTGGGCTCCAGTTCCATCATGGGATGATGCCGCAGACCCACGTGCCAAATCCACTTCCACACGCCTGCGCTTCACCCAAGCAGCCTCACTGTCATTGGGTGTAGAAGCCTCGGTTGCCACCAAATGACATGTTCCTTTTCTTAAATGATTTCATTGTCGTCATTGACTTCAAAGTTTTCAAAATCAATCAATGTCAAGTAACCCGTCTTTTCTTCTCCATGGTCAAACGCGAGACAAAGTTTCCCCGCCGCTGGTGGCCACTCAACCGAGCAGACTTGAACCCTTCTTTCCAAATTGCCATGGCGCCTTTGATGATCTCATCACGCTTCCCAGGCTCTTCATTGAGGAAGCTCAAGCGCAAGTGCATCTCTTTGAGCAGAGGGGATGCCAAACGCTTCTGGAAGCAAAGCAAAATGTTTCCAAAGTCACGCTCGCAGGGTGAAGTGGAAGTTCGTGCCAAGCACATTGCCCGTCCAACGAATTTCACCAAAACTGGATTGGACTCCGCTGCTTGCCTTCCTTCAAGGGCATGGATCCAGGCTTTGAGGTCGGCCAGAGGCTCCTTGTCAGAGATCCGGTCTCCTGAGGCACTGAATGACAAAAAGGAAATTGAACAAGACAATTAACATGACAATGGACAATTGACATGCTAACATAAGAGGATGATCTGAGTCTGAAGATATCTGAAGTAAAGCCACCAAGGGTCTTCGTTTGAGAGCTGTGTACTCGACATCACAGAAACTGCGACACAACTGTGGCAACTCTGGCTCTTCTCCAAAAATCTTGCAAACCTTTGCAAGATCCCGCTTCACCACAGTAGCATCCAGCTTGGGTCTGAGTTGCAGCACGCTGAAGGCTGACAACGCTTCGAAACTTGGAAATTCTGCCTGTAAGGCCTCCTTGGTGATGGTTACCCAAGCACTCATGCGCTCAAAGCATTGCGCAAGCAATTGAGGAGTGACAGCATCACGCCCTCCGACACACCGGAACTGGTCCTTCACTCTGATTGCCGTTTCCTTTTGAAGCCAAGTGATAGCCTTGGCAGCAGGCAATTTTTGTCACCAACCAACTAAATTGATTGAATGATTTCTATCAACAGTGACAGTGACAGTTGACAGTGAGGTCGTTATTAACGTCATAACTTCAGAAAGGAAATCATTCATGTCATTGACTTTTAAAAATAGTTAATTCCAGCAACATGTTGAGTGAAGCAATGGATATGGGCAGCTTTGCGCTGAACGAAGAGAGTGCTAATGCGAGAGAGGAATTGGTCAATAGTTTGGCGTAGCTGGGCTACGTCGATCGTATTGCTGTCGCAGAATCTGATCCTTAGCTGTTAAGCAACAAATGCTTGAGACTGAATCATTCCAAATGTGCAATGTGATTCCTGCTTAAAACGAAAATTAGCATTACAGGTTTTGCATGCAAAGAACAATTCCATCTCTTCCTGGGCAGCGTCCACCATCATTGCCAGTTGAAGGATGGCCTCTGGCTCAACCGAGAGAAGGAAACTGGCGGCTCTGGCCTTCGGTTTCGGTAGTGACCTCCGCTGGTAAATCCTGAGTCTGAGTTATGGTGTTATCTCCACGGCACTGTCATTGACTGTCATTACTGAAATTGACGTTGACTGACAATGGGAACGACTTTACATTGTCATTGACAAGCAACTCCATCGCTGCATGAATCACAGCGGAAAGATGCAAAACGAATCGTGCCGCTGGCTTCAGCGTGGATGAGTGACGATGCTTTGCAAAGCAAAGATTTCGAGTTCTCCAGTTCCGCTTGGAGTCTTCTTTCACCTTATTTCGGAAACTTTGACTTTAGCCCACACCCCATCAAACTGAGTCAAGTGGCATATTTCCTGAATATTCGGGTATTCTGCGGCGAATGGTAGATCAGGGAAATCACCGAACTGGAGCTCCAAATGTACTTGGTCCAGACCTCTTTGAGGTATGGGATGGCATACCATTTCTGCGTCAACCTGAACGAAACCATAACATAGAAAGAGAAATCACAAATCTTTTGGATAGACGGCACATTGCAATGTGGTCAGTAGTGGTCACACATGATTCATCGACTCTGCCAAGACACCTTCCTGCGGCATGGGCTCCATCACGAACACGAACCTTGATGTTCTTCAGCCGAGTGTACCGTGTCAACCTTATAGCCTTCATTTCATCAGCAGCTGCATCGGTCCCAGCCATCTCCTTAAATCTCAATGACAGCTGGGTCAAAGGTTTCAGCAGGTTTTTTTTTCACTGATTGAACAGTCACTCCACTAGCATAAAACGAAACCAATGCGATTCGGTTTGGAGTTGGGACCAGTCATTGACAAACCAATGTCAAGTTTATTATCGACAAGCTTCGACGCCATTGGAAAACTTGTGCAACAAGTGAGCCTGCAGTTTTGGCCGTGGGCCAGTCCATCCACGAGGTGGGCACCGCCTTGAGGTGAAGAACTTCCGGGTTGCCTGCCGTGTGGCTTTGGCCAAGTTGTGGGAACCACCGCTTTCACCTTTATGGTACGCCATCACAAAAGATGTTGCTCGGATGCCATGTTGTCCTTGGGCACCAGGGATGCACAATGACGATCAATGACAACAATGTTTTCTAATTAGAATTTGTTTTCTTTGCAAATCTCCTTGGGCAACAAAGGGTACAAACACAACAAAGAGGTTTGCAACGATTTGCAAGATGGAAGACAACCTTGAATTGAGTCAGGGATCTTTCAGAAGTGACCAAGCAAGCCCGAATACCAAGACCAGCCCCCTGTCCATCTTGGCTGATGGAAGCACTGATGAGACCACGGTTCACCCGAGCTTTGGTGATATCTTTGATAGCTTCATGCGTGCACCAAAGCATCTTCAAAGATTTGTGGGGACCAAGCTTCGATTTTCTGAGACTTGTGCCTGCAAACCTCTCGTCAATCATCTGACCAAACTCAGTTTCAGAAGGGCAAGTGCATGCACCAGCGGTCCTGTGGACTTTCGACTTTTCATGTTGCAGTAGTTGTGATCGTTGGTAAATCACAGATTCGAAGTCACGGCAGTGGCGACACTTGGCACAAGTAGGCCCTCCCTGGAGCCAGTCAAACTGACGCTGCCATTTCTTCCATTGCTTTTTGCTAGCTACCACCATTGAACTTGAAAACAAAGCATTGCAAGTCCAACTATTGAAGAATCTTACTCAGTAAGTTGATGTGAAGCATGTTTTTCTAGCCCTGGTCGCTGTTTGACAGTCGCTGAACTCTAGTTGGAAACTCATATTCAATGTTTATCCCTTGACATTGACAGTAAAGCCAAATGGCTGATTAGAGCAGTTGCAGTCGGCTCATGCCAAACACTTGCAGCATCACTTTGGGTGCCAACACTTTGTCAGGCAATCACAGCAGGTTCTGTTGCAATCTAGCCGGGTCCACGTCAGGGCTTTGCGATGATGAAGCCAAAGACCCGACTCTGAACGCTGCCAAAGGACAATATCAACTGGCAGTGTTGCAGAATGAGGATGTCACAAAGGTGTTGTATAGCACTATAATAAGAAAACAATTTAACACATGTCGTCATGTGATTGGGGCGTCCTCTACTTCGCAACTTAGTACAGTTACATGACATGGTCAGTTCAAGCTGTCCTTCACCCAACTTGTGACCTAAAAAAAAAGTAAATCCCTTGAGCCATCAAGTTATTCACATGCCAGTTCAAAAAGGCACCTCAGTTCAAGGTCAGTGACGTCAATGTCATTGACAAATTGCACAGCGACAATGACAATGACTGACAATGACTGTCCTTTATCCGACGCGACCTTGCAACTCTCAGTCGGCTCCTTTTGAGTTTGGAGCCTCGCCCCTGTTCCAACATTTGCAGCGATTTGGTTTGTGAAATCACTGCCTGGCTCCCCAAATCAGCTTTTCAGCTAGGCATATCAAACAAATTTGGACCGTTTCAAAGCAGGCTCAAAGTAAATTTCATCATCAATATCCCAAAGAGGCGCCCAGCACCAGTGACCATTATCCGGCTCCACGTCCGACAAACCAATGTCGGAATCAAAGTCTCCGGGCCCACCGCCAGGCAACATGAGAGTAGTTTGCCCCATTGAAACTTCAGACATCTGTGAGTCAGAATCATCGGAGTCCTCTGCCGGAGTCAAAGCTGTCACTGGATACCAGGTGCCATCAAAGAGGTCGACCGTCCTGGCATCATCAGACTTTATCTTGATCACCATTGCCATTCATCATCAGTCTTAACTTAACTTTGAAGCAGAATGATAACATTAAAACATGCCCTGTCGACGATGAAGAGCTGTGACCACCGTTGCTCTCTGAGTCACTGTCCGTCTCCATATTCAAGTTGCGGTCAGCCACCTCTGCGTGACAAGCAGAGTCACCAAACTTAGGGTAACAAAGCTAAGCTCACACCAACCTCTTAAGACCTTCCAAAGCGATCTGAGATCCCAACGGACAAGGGCTCAATTTCACGGGCCTTGGCATCAGACTCAACAGCACATTGTCATTGAATAATCAAGTCGACATTGCAATGTCAATCAAGATCACCAAATTCACACGTGTTGCACACTGCCGCAAACACCTTTTTAAACACGACGACGACGACGCTGCAGCTCAACAATCACAGGCTGTCGGAAGTAGGAAGGCCCATTCGACGATTTTGCCTTTGTCATTGGGTGTTTGGCCAACTAACTGAAACAATCTGAAGCAACAAACTGTTAAAGTCAGCTGCTTACTTTCAGTGCACTTGTTCGCAAGTAACTGGGCACACAGCTCATCTATCTGGTTTCGGAAGGTCTTCATGATCCATCCGTTGACATTGGAGATACCTGGCAGCTGTGGAACTGCAAAAATATGTCAGTGACAGTCAGTGGCATCAACAAAAATGAATGCCAGGCACACTCCCAGAACGCTGCCGATCATTCAAGAAGTTGCACACATCATCGTACTTCTCTGGCAGGGTCAGGAACAGCAGAGCGAGTGCCTGCATTGCTGGCCTTGTCAAGAGCTTCGATCCAATCAAGATTTAGAACTCAATTTATTTGAATTAACAATGTCAAACTTTCCACTGACACTGACTGACACGTTGGCAAACAAATGGCCTGCCCAGGTTCAAGTTGTCAACGATTTGCCTCCCTCGATCATCCAGGATCCCCCGTGCTAGGTCGGACATGACTTCAACCTTTTTGTTTTTTTGCAAAGACTCGAGCCAAGTCAGAAATCACAACTGAGATCAACTGAGTTACTTTGACTTGAAAGTAGTTGTCATTGACATCAAGTTGCCACTCAAGGTGCATGAATCTATATGTCATTGACACTAGACGCAATCAAACTGACATTGTCACTGACGAATGATCCTCGATTAACAATCCCTTAAGGCGGCGCTTCATTTCTTTTAACACAGGCTTAATGCAGTGTCATTGACTGGTCGAGCTGCAAGGCGGTGTTTGTCACCACATAGCCTTGCTGAAATGTGCATGTCAAAAGTCAACATGTTTCAACGACGACGACAGGACTCAGCTTGATTCAAATTCAAGTCAGGCTGCCAAAGTTCAAAAACAAGCCCTTGCAGCCAGGTCACTAGTCGACAGCAGTCACTGCCGCAATATCGCTGCAAATGCAGCTGGTGAGATATTTGTTCCATCGAGGGCCATACATGTCGAGGAAGGTTTGTCTCCAAAAAACACTGGCAAACCTGAGTTGTCGGGCGAGAGGAAGAACCATCAAAATTCTCCTGTTGTTCGGCAAGGTCTGGGCCACGTCATTGACAATCTCGGTCCTTGGATGTTTGGAGATTACAAGTCAATACAAATTATTAACTGACTGTGACTGACTGTTGTCATCATTAACATTGTTAAGCCATGAGTCATAAGTGCATGCAATTGCATATGTTGCGAAGCACTTTCCCACCAATCCACCTTCCAAACCGGTGGCGGTGGCAATAGCGGTGGCGGTAGCGGCGGAAGTGGCATCATTGGACGGGCCACTGCAGAAGGAGTTGGGAGGGGTGCTTGAGAAGGTGGTGGACCAGGAGGAGGCGAGGACAGCGTAGGCTGCCTCCAAGGATGCCTTAATTCTTCCAAGGTTCCAGCTTTAAATGTCTAACTTGGCTTTAATTACACTTCATCAAAGTGTCAATGTGCAGTTCGAGTTGCACGCGATGCTGACTTTGGAGAGTGAAGGGATACGGCTTGCAGTTGCAGCACTTCCAGAAATGATAAAGCGCCTTGATCTGAATCTTCGACCACTTCAGTGCGTCAAGGCCCATTCGCTGAAGAGCATCTCGGCGGATGGTTTCCCTGTGACACAAGCCGTCATTGAATTCACAAGCTGTCATTGACTTCACAGGCCGTCACTGACTGCACAATGTGACTGTGAACTGAGTCAAGGGACCTAGCCGCTGCAGTAGGCTCCTTCAGCCAGGCGAGAATGCTTTCGCAATCCACCTGCCATGATCGACTGCCAGACAAACTGAAGATAAAGACGCAGTGTTCCACGCCAATCACCTCAGATCGTTGGGTTGGTAGCCAACAGACAATGAGTCTTTTTGACGAACAAGTGCCTGCTGCTGACAGACAAGTCAAGTGGCAAACAAGAAGGCACTGAGCAAGGCTACAAAGGTGCTGGTGCGGTGGAACCCTGCTTTGCAGTTCAAGGCCACAACTTCACTTGGCGAAGTGAACATCTTCTTGGCAATGTTCATCGCATTGAAGTGTGTAAACACCTGGCAGAGATGGACAGAGATGTGTGGCAACATCCCAAATAAATTACATTGTCTGGCAGCAATCAATGACCACAATGGCAACTATTGCAAACATCAGGGCCAGGCACAGAAAGCATGATGATTGTTCGCAATCCGCTGAGATACTGCTTGGAAGGCCTCAAGGACAGGTCGTTGCTGTTCATTGAAAGTCATTGACATTGGCAAATGTATTGAATTGACAAACAAGTTGAGTGAGAATGACGATGATAATGACTTTAATCGAATACAAGCCACAATTCTGTTTTGGGGTCCTTCTTCATCAAATTTGCCAGGTTGTGAAACACCGTGGGTCTGTCGATGTGGGTCAAGACCTCCACCGGGTTCCACACATCATTCCCCTGGACATCGCAGCCTTGGTACCCAAAATCAATTCGAGGCTCAGCGCCCCATCCAACGAGCATGACCTTTGAAGGCCAACCATGGGCAAGTCCATTGCCAACCTTGGGCTGAAAATGTCACAAAATCCTGCACTGGTGGATAATTTAATTGATACTCCCTGTCACTGACTGTCTGCATTGATTCAATACATTCAGCAAAGGCTCATCATTTTTGAGCTGCATTATATTGAACCCCATTTTCTCCAAGTACTCATCGTCACTGTCGGTGTCAGCGCCCTTGCCTTTCCCCTTGCCATTCCCCTTGCCATATGTCCGGTTTTGCCACTTCCGCTTCATGGCTGGAAGGAATGTGTGGAAAATTAATTGATGTCAATTGGATTTTAGATTATTTTTTCAGTTGATTTCAGTTTCATGCCACAGTAAAATGGAAATCAGTCATTTGAGGGTCAAGGCTGATGCTAGACAGTGAAATCACTGATTGATTGCGAAGTGATAGCTTGCAAGTCCAAACCAAGACACCATGACTGCAACAGTGACATGATAAGCCCAAAGCAGCGTTGATTCAGAGAACGTGTTCTGACTGACATCAATGCAAAAGCTGGCAAAGCTACATGGCGCCAATGACGATAAATAAACATTGCAACCATCATCCGGAACTGTGTAAAAGATCACTGAGACTCTGACATTGCAGGTTCCACGGTCACCACAGCCTAAGTGGCATCTAGGACATATTTACAATTATACTAAATTGATTTCATATTAAATTGGTTGAGTCAAAGCTGGTGTCAAACTCAAATTGCTTCAAACTCAAGCCAAACAGGGCCCTGGCAATGTGCCTTGTCAATGTGGTTCACGCTGATGGTCTTGTTTGTCTCCTGCACTGGGTCAGAACAACCATGTGAAATCACTGTTGAGTTCACAAGACTGCACAGTCCTTGCCAAGGTTAAAGCGGTCATAAAATCCACCTGCTTGTTTTCGAAGTCTCAAAATCAATGCTACCACAATTATCACTGACAAGTCTCACGTACTGCATCTTACCACAGTGACATAAGCAGACTCGGTCAGTGAAAGCCTCTGCTCAATGATGCTGCTAATGAGGTCGCAGATCGAAAGTCCAGGAGCATGAACATTGCCTTGTCAATCGCCATTTTGATCCTCAAAGCGGCATCAGAATTAGACTGACAATGTCAACGTATTGGAACACCAACTGCCAATGACATGGACATCGTGACATCATGGAGGCATCAACTGTCAGTGACATGGTCTCCGACCGTGGGTCTAGGCTTTGATCCTCAATGTTCTCGCCTCATATTGAAATTGTTACCAAAGACATCAACTGCAAATACCATCCCTGCAAACAAACAAGTAGCCAGTAAGGCCATGACAGTCATTCCAATCATCCTGAACGTGCTGGGCTGTTGCAAGAAGAAGCTTAGTTAAATGTTCCTTTCAAGTATCATTGTCACTGACGTCACTGACAAAATATATGCACCGACCTGCTCATGGCGGGTAAACCACTGATGGAAATGTGAAAGCACTTGCGTCTCCTGAACAATGGAGTATGACTGACATCAGTTTTGCTGAGGCTGCTGCCAAATTGACATGGACAGCTCACTGACAGGATTCCATGACAAGCTGAGTTCAAAGCTTAGCAGTTCAAAGTAAAAAAAGTAAAGCAGTTCAAAGTTAAAAAGCTCCTCCAAATCTGTCAAGATCCGGTCCATGATATAGGTCACCATCCATAAGGCCATATCTCAGTCCAAAAAACAAGATAAAAACGATGCCCTCATGCCAGCATACTGAGATAAAAACGGAGCCCTTCATTGAGCGCAACTTCCATCATCCTGCAAACGAACTCTTGGGCATGTCACATGCTGAACTAGAGTTAACTAGAGAAGAACAATTAAAAGTCTCAGCTTCCAGTCCTCGTAGGGACAGCAGTTGAGGCAAACATCAAATTTGAGCAAATGGTGCTTTCAGCCAAGGGGACGAGCGATTGACAGTGGCATTGAGGGACGTTTCTTGTGACAGTGAGAATGGCCCAAGTGAATTCCGATGAGATGAAATGATTGATTGGCAGAATGGGGAAATTATGTCACTGACTGACTTATTTAAATTAATCTAAGTCCAACTAAATTTCATATTAATTACTTATTAACTCTGACTACCCTTTTTAAAATAAATAAAAAAAATTGCTTAACCAGCAGCAAGTTGAGCAACAAAAGCAATTTTGCTCGCCTTTCCTTACCAAGCGCTGCATGGATGAGCGGTTTGGCGTAGGACAGTGGCGACCGCTGCAACGTTTCTTGATTGTGCAGCCGGATGGAAAGGAAAGAGTCATTGACAATGCACGTAAGACTCTCCACAATAGTTCAACGGCGATGATGGAAACGATTTACACAGTGCACTTGGACTTCATCCCGGCCGTTATCAAGCAACTGGCGCACCGGCTTCAGGTGACTAGCCCAGGGGATTGGAGTGTCTTCCACCCCTGGGCGCATTTCCGCCTGGGTACGGATGATCTGCCGGATGCATATCGTGGTCTGCCCGTGTGCCCAGAACATTTGCCATACTCTGCTGTGGCAGTCTGGGTACCCCAGCAGGGATGGCGCTACACTATCTTGTGGGGACTGGCCTTTGGACTCGAAAGTGCTGTAGTCTCATTCAACCGACTGCCTCAGCTTGGCATTGCCGCTACCAGAAGATGCCTCTATGGTCTTGCAGCAGCTTATTTTGATGATGAGTTGGCCGTTGAAGTGGTGGCAGCAGCCGATATTTCACAACAAGCCTTGCGGCTCTTGTTTACTAGTATTGGCGCTCCGCCCCAGAAAGCCAAGGGATTTGCGCCTTCACCAGATCGCCACTACCTGGGAGCCGCGATTCACTTGGGCTCCGTGATGACAACGGGTTGTGTCCGTATCCAGCCAAAATTCGCGACGGTGGCCAAAGTTGCCGGTCGTCTCCGAGTGGCCATTGCCAACCGTTGTCTTACCAAAGAGGAAGCTGGCAAGCTCCGGGGCGACATCACTTGGATGTTTTCTTTGGCGGCGGGTCACATGGGCCGTATCGCCCAACCTGTCCTGGCCAAGTGCAGCAGTGATGGCCCGACGCCAATGGATGATGAAGATGTTGTTACCTTGCAGGTACTGCTGCGCATTGTCCTGGACTGTCAGCCTCGCGACGTCCAGGTGTGCGGTGTGGATAAGGTGCCTTTGGTTATCTACTCCGATGCCTCTTTTGAGCAAGGAGTCCTACGCCTGGGGTGGGTAGTGATGTGTCCGGGTACCTCCTACCAACCTCAGGGGGGGACCTGTGAGGTGCCACCAGAGGTCATAGATAGCTGGGTGCCTCGTCGCCAGCAGATTTACCCAGGCGAGGCCATTGTGGCCCTGGTCATTCCGGCTCTCTTGCCTGACCTACTACGAGGCCAGGATCTCCTGTGGTTCGTCGACAATGAGAGCGCGACCAGCACTTTGATCCGCTGTGTCTCATCTCAGTGTGATGTCCACGAGATAGCAGAGTTCTCGCACTATCTGCTGAACAGTTTGGACGCCCGGGCGTGGTTTGAATGGATTGACTCCGAGTCTAATCCTAGTGATGGGCTGAGCAGATTAGGATTAGCAGATGAGTGGACACAAGCCCAGGGCTGGTCCCTCACCTCTTACACTTTTCCTCCTGGCCTCAGCCGCGGAGAATTTCTTCAGTCCCTTCCGGTTAGCGTGGTTTAGTGAACAGTGGGTGATATGAACAATGGGTATGTGTTTGGACTCATGGTAGTCTAACCATACATGTGTTTAGACTGTTGAGTCTAACCATTTTCCAGATGTGTGTGGTGTAACCCCCCATCTGTGTTTTGACCCATTGTTATTTGATAACAATGAGGGGTTCACTACCATGCCGCTACTGGAGGGCTGGTATCTTCTCACTTGCAGCGTACCAGTTGAAGGAAAGTGAAAAGAGTGCTGCAGAAGGGTTCACACTTTCTTACCCCTTCATAACTGTAGGTTGGTTGGGTAGGGGCTTTATGAGGTGTGAAAGTGTTGATACCTTTTGGGCCTTGATGCCAATTTTGGCTCAAGGACCCACTTTTTGGTTTTCCCCACCCTCCCTCCCGGATCTCCTCTGCGGAGTGAAGGGAGAGGGTCTTCGACGGGACTTGACCCTCTAACATTGGTACTTTACCATGTAGGGGTATGTGTTTGGACTCATGGTAGTCTAACCATACATGTGTTTAGACTGTTGAGTCTAACCATTTTCCAGATGTGTGTGGTGTAACCCCCCATCTGTGTTTTGACCCATTGTTATTTGATAACAATGAGGGGTTCACTACCATGCCGCTACTGGAGGGCTGGTATCTTCTCACGTGCAGCGTGCCAGTTGAAGGAAAGTGAAAAGAGTGCTGCAGAAGGGTTCACACTTTCTATATATAACTTTTCGTTTACCGTTTATCACTTACCTGAAGAAATCTCCATATCCATCGTATCATGATATGAGCCGACTCTTTAAGGCCATGCTGTCGCGCCTCGATCATCCTCACATTGTGAGGCCGCTGCGAGCTTTCCACGGTGGTTGGAAAATGGTTATTTCATAGACGCAAAAAACAGTGATCCAGTTGATTTGGAACAGGATCACAACCCACATGTCATAGAGACCTGGCTGTTTCATCCCCTCCCCAGTTCATTGCACCACATTATATATTCGGGCTGCGAGGATGCACGAGTCCTTCCAGTCGGCGAGTGAACTACATCTGGTTTTGGAGATGTGTCTGGACCCTTGAATCCGCTTTCCCACGAAAAATCCGGAAAACTGATTCAGCCAAGGTCAAGGTGGGGAGCTTTATGCTCTCCTGGTAAAGAAGATCAAAGAGGAGCAATCAATCTATAGATTCTATAGTTTCCTGGAAACAGAATAAGGAAAATCCAACATTCTGCGCAGTTTGTTCAAGGTTTTCGCAAGAGAATTTCATTGTGTTGAAGCAGATGTTGTGAAGCTTTGGAGCCTGCAGGATGATGGGCTCGAGGAATCTGTCTCGCAGATCTTCTTCAGGTCCGAATTTCATCCGTTGATCCCTTTTGACAGGAAGTTACCTAAGTTCCTTTGTCGCAATGCTGGAAACCCTTTCAAATGCCTGTCATGATCCAGACAAATGCTTCAAGCTGTTGGATACCTTCATGGTCGGCGGATTGTCCACCGCGACGTGAAGCCTGGTCCCCGTTGTGATCCGCGGCGTGATCGGGTTTTCGCAGCTGCATTTGATGAGTCTTGTAGTGGATGCAAAAAGCATTGCTCTTCAGGCCAGAGAATTTCCTGGTGTCTGGAAGTTCCGATCGGCTTGAGGCAACTTTCTCATGGTTGTATTTCAAGTGTGGGTAGATTGGCCAGTATAGGGCTTTTTCCCCAACAGCAGAATGCTTTGGGGTCTTCAGCCATAGTAAAGGTTTCGGAGCAGACCGGAGCAGCTCCAAAACCCATTCCCCCAAGGTTCCCAGGTTCCAAGTAAAGGTTCCCAGGTTCCCAAGTAAAGGTTCCCAGTAAAGGTTCCCAAGTAAAGGTTCCCAGGTTCCCAAGTAAAGGTTCCCAAGTAAAGGTTCCCAAGTAAAGGTTCCCAAGTTCCCAAGTAAAGGTTCCCAAGTAAAGGTTCCCAAGGTTCCCAAGGTTCCCTCAAGGTTCCCAAGGTTCCCTCAAGGTTCCCAAGGTTCAAGGTTCCCTCAAGGTTCCCAAAAGGTTCCCAAAAGGTTCCCTCAAGGTTCCTTCAAGGTTCCCTGCAAGGTTCCCAAGTTTTCCAAGTAAAGGTTGTCAAGGTTCCCAAGATTATTATGTAAAGGTTCCCAAGTAGACGTGGTCCAGGTTCCCAAGGTGACATTGTAAAGGTTTCTATAAGATTCCCAAGGTTAGATTGTCAAGGTTCCCTCAAGGTTCCCAAAACTTACCCTCAAGGTTCCTTCAAGGTTTCTTCAAGGTTCCCTGAAGGTTCCCAAGTTTTCCAAGGTTCCCAAGGTTGTATTGTAAAGGTTCCCTCAAGGTTCCCAAGGTTACATTGTAAAAGGTTCTCAAGGATTCCAAGGTTATATTGTCAAGGTTTCCTCAAGCTTTCCGAGGTTGCATTGTAAAGGTTCCCTCAAGATTCCCAAGTTTCCCAAGTAAAGGTTGTCAAGGTTCCCAAGGTTGTATTGTAAAGGTTCCCTCAAGGTTCCCAAGTTTTCCACGTAAATGTTCTCAAGGTCCACGAGGTTATTATGTAAAGGTTCCCAAGTAGTAATATTCGTCGTAATATACTAATTTCTTTAAGAAATTTGAATGCGGCTACACGCGCGGAACCCGCGCAGAACAACACGCGCGGAACCTGCGCAAAACGCAGACGCGCACAACGCGCAGCGCACGGAAACGCGTACTATTAGTACTTCTAGTAGTAGTAGTAGTAGTAGTCGTGGTAGTAGTCGTAGTAGTCGTAGTAGTCGTAGTAGTCGTAGTAGTCGTAGTAGTCGTAGTATAGTAGTAAAGTCGTAGTAGTCATAGTAGTCGTCGTAGTAGTCGTAGTAGTCGTAGTAGTCGTAGTAGTCGTAGTAGTCGTCGTAGTCGTCGTATAGTCGTCGTATAGTCGTCGTATAGTCGTCGTATAGTCGTCGTATAGTCGTCGTATAGTCGTCGTATAGTCGTCGTATAGTCGTCGTATAGTCGTCGTATAGTCGTCGTATAGTCGTCGTAGTCGCAGTCGCAGTCGCAGTCGCAGTCGCAGTCGCAGTCGCAGTCGCAGTCGCAGTAGTAGTAGTAGTAGTAGTAGTAGTAGTAGTAGTAGTAGTAGTAGTAGTAGTAGTAGTAGTAGTAGTAGTAGTAGTAGTGGTAGTAGCAGCAGCAGCAGCAGCAGCAGTAGCAGTAGCAGTAGCAGTATAGCAGTAGCAGTAGCAGTAGCAGTAGCAGTAGCAGTAGCAGTAGCAGTAGCAGTAGCAGTAGCAGTAGTAGTAGTAGTAGTAGTAGTAGCAGTAGCAGATCGGCAGAAAAAGATTGTAAATACAAAACCAGATGTAAATACAAAACGCCAAAAAAAACATTTGAAAAAAACAAGGCAATATTTTTCGAACGCTGATTCATTGCTACTGGTGCATAATCCGCCTTCTTGCTCTTTTAAACGCTTTTATACTGGAGAAAACAAACCTAGAAGAACACAATTTTCAAACCTTACGCAGAGCGCACTGGGTCTTCAAAAGGACGTAAGTAAAGAGCACTAAAACACAAAATATCAACAAACTTTAAGCCTGTTGTTTAGATGTCAGAATGTATGCAAGATGGAATGCCAGAACGCAATTCAAATAAAATCGCATGGAGTCTTCAAGCAAACGCATTTGAACAACCAGCGACAAAAGCGAAGCGCCATTTAAAAAAAGCGGCATAGCATGAAAACATGAGGTGAAAAATCACGTAAGTGTAGTTGCACCTGAGTGCCATGCGTACAAGAGACATGTACCTGATGACAATATACATATCATTATCCATGCCAAGACATGCAGAATTTATTTTCCATCATCGATTACCTGTGTCTTCATGTATTTTTTTTCAAAAAAAACATATTTCAAAAATACATCCGTGTAGACAAGCGAGAAATGTACAACTCATACCAAAACTATTTACATCTATAAGGTCTGATCTAAAGAAAGTCCAGAGACGAAACAAATCTGTATAGTTTTACAAACCTTGATTTCTACCCAGAATGGACAGGTGGATTCTGGAATCTGGAATCCGGGACCCGGATCCCGGGAGCCAGATGCAGGAATCTAAATCCGCAATTATTTTTATCCAAAAATAACCATATATAGCTAAATTCAAGACATGAAAACGTAGAATCTGACAAATGCCTAATCGTGTTTTTTTTTTAAACGCGGTCATTGCTAGTAGTGAACAATCTATCTTAATGCTTTGTTGAACACTATCTATACGAACCAAGAAGAACACAATTTTCGGACCTTACGCAAATCGCGCCGAATTTTGAAAAGGACGTAAGTAAAGAACGATATTACACAAAATATCGGCAAACTTTAAGCCTGTTGTTTAGATGTCAGAATGTATGCGAGATGCAATGCCAGAATACAATTCAAGTAGAATCACATGGAATCTTCAAGCAAGCGCATTTGAACAACCAGCGACAAAAGCGAAGCGCCATTAAAAAAAAGCGGTATAGCATGAAAACATGAAGTAAAAAAATCACGGAAGTGTAGTTGCACCTGAGTGCCATGCGTACAAGAGACATGTACCTGATGACAATATACATATCATTCTCCATGCCAAGACATGCAGAATCTATTTTCCATCATCGATTACCTGTGTCTTCATGTAATTATTTTTTCGAAAAAGAACATATTTCAAAAATACATCCGTGTAGACAAGCGAGAAATGTACAACTCATACCAAAACTATTTACATCTATAAGGTCTGATCTAAAGAAAGTCCAGAGACAGTAGTAGTAGTAGTAGTAGTAGTAGCAGTAGCAGTAGCAGTAGCAGTAGCAGTAGCAGTAGCAGTAGCAGTAGCAGTAGCAGTAGCAGTAGCAGTAGCAGTAGGCGTCGTCGTCGTCGTCGTAGTTAGTAGTAGTAGTAGTAG